AAATGTATAAATTTTTAGTTCTTCTTTAAAGAATTTTCCCATAAGATTGTGAAGCAATTGCGTTTGTAAATTTATGGTACTGTTGTTTCTAGCACCGAACCTTCGCCTGAGATCAAAGAGAAGTGATTCCTGATAAATAATGCATGATATCGGAAAGCTGTAGAAAATAATACCCTTCGATATGAAGAAAGTACAGAGGAGCACACAAATGCTTTTGAAACGTCTCTTGTTTTTTTTTCCAATTGAGATCCCGAGGCTATCTGGAATGATTAGAAGGGTAGTAGAATAAGGGCCAGAGTTTCACCAACGTCGATTAACTGTAACCTTCGATTAAACTCACTCTTCGTCTCTTTCTAAGGGGGACAGTTAGAAAGAGACGAAGAGTGAGTTTAATCGAAGGTTACAGTTAATCGACGTTGGTGAAACTGGACCTAAATCGTATTGATTTCGTCGTTTAACAGAGAAGAGCAGGTCGAATTTAATGAAAAAAGCAGTACCCTGTACGTGATGTGCCAAGTTCCTCTGTCATATATGACACAAAAAAAAGATCTAAATAAACAAATCTTAAATTTTTTAATTTATATTAACTTTATTAATATTTAAAAATGTTATTGATATTTTTTCCAATCAATTTTTTAAAACAAATAATTTTTCTTTTTATTCGACATTTTATTCAACAAATTGCCTCATAAATAGCAACTTCCTTTTGAAGAAGTTTTCTGGCTTGCTCAATTCTCTCTCGATTGATTGTCTCTTTGACGAATCTTTAGAGGATTTACCTTTACGGTTTAATTTTACGTATGAAAATCACTACGATGACGCAGCGCTCTGTCGCTGTCAAAGAACGAGCGATTCCATTCGTTCTTTGACAGCATTCTTCTCTCGCCCCGTTTCGGGACTCATAATCGGTCCGTGTCATCGCATAATCATTATCGGACGTACGTAGTGACACGACGTGTCTTCGCACGTTCTCCTCTACGGTGCTTTCACCGTAGAAGTGCGAGTTATTGCATTGCGTGGGCGGTATAAAGTATAAAGGCAGTCGGCGCGTAACTCAACGCCAATGGGACAAAAGCGGGCGCCGATATCGACTTCTCGCTTCGCGCGCAACGCGCATCGCGTTTACTACGTAATGCCTATAACGCACGATTTCCGCTTAACAAGGCTTAATCCCCTCGCATGATGCCATCCACATTCGCGACCATACGTGCATACGTGGCACAAAGTCTCCAGCGGCAATTACAGAGACGAGTCCCGGGGCGAGAATGGCATCGATACAACTATTTGCTAAGTTATCTTATAGATGGACGGACGAGATTTCAGTTTGCAGAACCTCGAGGGTACTAGACATGAGCCCCCGAGGCGAGTATCTCCTCGCTCCTTCCGTCCCTCAATATCCTAACTACGTGCCATGCAAAAACAAGTTTAGTTGCATCGAACATTGCATCTCACTCGTAGCTCTAAAGATTCTCGGTACATTGAAGATTTATAAATTAATTTAGATTAAATATACATACATGTATATTTAATAATAATTTTACTTTCAATCACTGCTAGATCCTAAATAATGAAAATCTATCAAGCAAGAGCGATTCTGCTTCGGACGTATAGAAGAAATAAATTTTAAAACTCGAAAAAAATTGCGGAGCGCATTATATTCATCTTCATAAGACGGTCGAGTTGGTAAAGCTTGCGATATTCATCAATGTCCAATATATCCTAGCGTCCTATATAGAAAGGCCCCGACTATAATCGTATTAGCGTTTCTGCTGAAATCCATCAGCGATTTAATACGATTGCGATAATCGTTTACGCATTGCAGAATCATCCATTCCTTTAGAACTAATCGTTAATGAAGTCTAACGATTGGCTGTATCAGAATTCATCTATTTTATGAATACTTTAAGAATTTTTTCATAAAGCCCGCGTGGCAATTAGAATAAACATGGAAATAACGTTATGGAAGAAAAAAAAACTGATTACGATTATAATAGCAGTATCCAATGCATTCGTCACTCGCCACTATGACGAATAAGTTCTCGCATTGCGATGAATGTATGAATACATGAAAATTAATCATGATATTTTTCAAATTATTTCCACGAATAAAGCGCATATATGACAATAATATCAACAATAATATTACAATCTGCAACATTTCAAAGTGTATACGTTTAATTTTAGAACCAAAATAAGAAGAAGATTCTTAAAATAATCTATTTAAAATAAGAAAAAGATTCTTAAAATAGTCTATTTAAATAACGAGAAATCCTTAGACATTACTTTAAATACTCTTCTACAATGTATATTATTGAATTAATAAAATAAAGAATTAAAAATACATACAATTATGATTTCAAACTTGTCACTTGATCTAGTTTGAAGTGATATTGTAAGTGCGGGGGAAGAAATCTATAAATACGATTAGGACAATTTCCATATAACGTTCTTTCAAGGCGGCGCAATGCTTCCGCGATAATTACACATCAAATTTGTTCTCACGAGCGCGAGACTTCAATCGCACTTTTCGCGCCGCACTTGGTTCCCTCGTAAAACATGCCCGGAATCCACACTTATTGTATTATGTATAACATCGACAATTGTCTCACGATCCGCCGGGATCTCCCAAGTGAGAAGAAACGGTTAAGTCATTTTGTCCCATCGGCAAATAATTTTTGTTAATAAAAAAAACAGGGTAATGATCTGCGTTACATAATCTCGAAGTCATGTTGTACTGCAACAAATCGATCACATTAATGCTTGAAAGAATTATGATTACAACATAATCGCGTGAGAAAAGTTCGATAGTAAATGTATTTGAATTATATATTCATGTTGCGAATACGTTAAACTTTATGAAAATCAGGGCAAACAAAGCGAGAGAAGGATTATCAGCAATCGTTTCCCTTACAACAATTGCATTACATCAGTGATGACAGATCATTCGGAAAGAAAGACAAGTCGACCTTGTCATCTCTCTCTTTCTCTCTCTCTCTCTTGTGCGCTTTATTCTTTTTATAATTTTTTTATACCGATCATCATTTATCCGACGGTGTTTGCCGGATTATTATGTGTAGTAATAATTAGCTGTTGATTGAACTTCGTAATAACAACAGGGAAGAGGATTGAGATATTTGAAGTATGTGATAATTGGTGAACTTATAGGAGGAATTTCTGCTATATGGAAGAAAAAGCTTCAGAAATAAAGAAATAACGATCTTTCTTTAAACCTTTTATTTTCTACAAAGTATATCCGGAGTGTTGTATAGATACATTATATATATATATTTTTTATCATTATTTCCTTATATTTTATTACGTTATTAACTACGTCAGTTAATTATTACGACAAGACATAAATAAGAAACAGCATTTCTATAGTAACAATCAAGACTCTTCAATGAAGCCCCTAGCTATTGTTAGCTTATTTTACATTTCACAACTTTAGAAGCTGATATTGCTTCACACAAACTTGCGCAAATAAGAACCATCTTTAACAGCTATACGTTAAAAAAGTTAGCCGCTATTATAAGTTCTCTTATACGCGTAGTGCAAATATCCTTTGCGTATTTCGCTATTCTCTAATGAGAGATTTTTCAAACTACTTTCCGATCGGGTAACGAGCACTTAGTACGCAATTTCCCGTACGCAGGAACGAGAAATTTAATCAAGGTCGTTAAAACCCTTCTTTCTGATTGACGTTCTTCAGCGATCGCTTTGCATATTGACACGTACGCGAATTGACTCGTGTACGGGAATCGGTACGGGCACTTCTCGTGCAATCGACGTGTCATAATTGACGCACGTCCGTACCACGACTACATCTGTTCAAGAGCTATGAATAGGAGCATTCAGATCGCGATCCGTGAGAATATTAAGGCATGGAGAGACGCGCGCGCCCATCCTCGCGAATCACGACTGACCTTCGCGCGAACGATCGTGACGGTGGAATCGGCGCTCGGGGACCGACCCGACCGACGCGAGATGCGGTGGACAGATATAGATTCAGAAGATCTAAACGCCCACCTCACGGATCTCTCAGCGTTCACCCCCTTTTTTCTCAGAATCCGGGAAATATCAAAGACGACGTAGAGATGCGCCACAGCCGTGTCTGCGTTTGCGCCATCGCTTATTCATCGCACGTTTATCGATGACGAGAGCCCTTCCTTCGTCCATAAATCGTGATATTATAAGCCGAAGTTGTCTTGAACGTAGCTCGGCTGCAAAAGTACGAGGGGATTAGATAAATCGCTCGTGTTGGAGAGAAATCCATTTAGCTGAACAAGGAGAAATCTAAGACGGGAAGCTCAGCACTCAATATTAATTTTCTCAGCTCGTTAGTTTTTACGAAATTGCTGTATCATCTTCCAAATCTCATTTTTTGTATTTTTTTTTTGTACATGTATTTTATATTCGGTAATTGATAGATTAAAAGAGTGACAATCCCTTCCCTCAAAATAATTTATTTGCACACGGAACAGTTTATTCTATAAAAAAAAAACATTTTAGACGATTAAATTTTCATGTTCCACTAATCGCAATTACTTTGAAATATAATTATATTTTGTACGTATGACACACTCTCTCTCTCTCTCTCTCTCTCTCTCATTACATGAAATAAATATGAAGAGCATAAGCAAGACTTATAAGCGAGGCACGATTCTAAGTCTGTTAACTGAGGCAACAGAATGCTAAGGAAACCTCTTTAAACAGTATCCTGCTGAAGTTTTGTGATTGCGCAGTTCTATTATTTAGACTGTTACTCTGTTCTCTCTTTCTTTACACTCTATAATAATTTCTTTAAGTATTAAAACGTAATTTCCGAAATAATTGCGTTTTCTGCTAAAAGATAATAAATAAAAAGAATTATGCTTCTCTGAAATATCCCGATCGAATGTATCGCGTGAACTAATGATAAAAATTCTCTCGAAAATAGCGAAGAGCCGGAGTCATATGTCACATTATTTACTTCAATAGGACAATTTATTAATAATGTTTACATAAAATGTTTAAAAAATTATGAGTGGCATGTGTAACGTTATTCGATCTGCAGTTACAAATCACACAGGCAGGTAAACCGTTGGTCGATGCTTCGGCAAAGATTTAACGGAAAACTTAGGACGCGCAGGTGTTTCATTGGGAAGTCGTTTAGGGAAACCGAAATCATGGTTATGACGAATTGGAGCGCTGTCTCTGTTCCACCCTCGTCGTTTACTCTGCCAATTCTTATTCCAATATCTGTCCTCGTTAGATTCACGCTGATAATTCCAGGATAGCTTCTTTTCACCTATTCTGATGCGTCTTTATAAAAGAATGAATAACGATTAGAGTAGTAATACTTGTATAATAATACAAAGTATAAAGTTTAAAAAAATAGATAAATATAAATTAAATATAAGGCATATAAAAATGTCAAATGAATGTTCAAAGCAAACGTTATCTTATGCACGGAGAAAGTAAAATTTCTAATGCATTCAGATATAAAGTTTACATCAGCGTTAGGTCAGTACGATGTTTACGTATCGATGTTACATCTGTCGTATAAATCTGTCGTATAATTTTTAGACACTTTAACCGCGGTGGAAACCGAAAGTGGGGGAGTCCGAGATTGCTTTCCTTGTGCGAATGAAAGTAGCGTGTCTATTATAATTAACAGCACGCGTGACTTATTTATCGCTTCATTTTATTATGAGATAATTCAGCGGAAACATAAAAATAAATGTTACTGCAACGGATTTTTTTTTCGGCGCTCAAACCGCGTGAGATAAGCAGATGCCGATTATGTAATCATATGCGAATGAGGAATGGACGCACACGGTATATACAGTACATGTATTTTGAACAATTCGTTACGTAATGCGTGCTCACCTATCAGCTTCCTCCATTGCTTTTGCAACCGCCTCGTTAATGGAGTAGAAACTTTGCGCGCGGGAGCAATCCACGGTGTACCACCACGTGCAGACCAGTCTCTCCTGATTGAATAACGTGCCGTTTGGACAAAGGAACGAGTCCTTACGGCCGCCACGTTGGCAGATGTGATACGCCTGGCAGTCGGCCTCAGGGTCGGCGTAATAGCCCGGATATCTCCATTCGCATACGAATCGCGTCCACGGAACTCGGTGGAAGATCGGATAATCTTTCCCGGCTGTCCCGGAGATCCCGTCGTCGTTCGACCATTGATCGCGCGGGCCCTCGTAACCGTATCCCCGGTCGTAAGACAGCTGCTTGTTGGGACGCACATACGAATATCCCTTGTGCGCCTATATAAATATATATATCTATAACTATAGCTCTCGTGCTTTCGGAATGAAATTTAGGAATAGATTCTTTAATTTCAGTCAAATATTTCTTTAAAAAGAATATCGAGGCATATCTTTGTAAACTAATAAAATTTAATTAATTCGTTTTCCTCTTTTTTAAAAATCGATATCGGAAAAAGTTAAGCAATGAAACCTTATTTTTGTTTGATTCTAAGCGCAAATTTTATATTTTGACGGAATTTTAATTCTCCCAGTTTGATTGCCAAATTATTTGACATTAATAACGAATTTGTGCGTTTCCTTGCAAACGTTTTAGCATCTTTGCGCTACGAAGAAAATCTAATACGTACTACGCAACTTGCGAGGGTGATCATTATGACGAGTCCTAACTTGAGTACCATGATCAAGTCTAATTTGGTAGCTCCAGCCAACAAAGTCACTTGAGATTATATTGAATCACGGAATATGAACTCGGTCTTTATATAGTTCTCGTAATGAGTTCAAGTACACGTGCATAATTATTCTGCCATTCAAAACCGGCGCATCCTTCGATCGAAGATATGATGGCGAAGGTGATACGTATTTCGGCAATTAAGAATTCACATGACGAAACAAAGACTCCCGCATCCTTTTCTCAAGGCACGCATCTCTATAGATACGGCTAACGATACAATTCCCGCGATTAACAGTCGTCCGGAGCGTTGTGAATAAAAGATAGTTCCGTCAAATCAATCATACGCGATGATTAATCCCGGTCGCGTCACTCCGATCTGCATTGCCGAGTAACATCTTAATATAGCTTTATCTCACATATAGCTTCACCGTCAGTTCTCTCCCGTAATCCTTCTCGTCGGATTTTACTTTCGTACATAAATTTATTTTATAGTCAGGCTTTTTCTTTTAAGGGAACTTCCATACGTGGAATATATATGTTTCCTGTTTGAAACTACGACGAATTCTAAATCCCGCGCGTTTATTCAGCGTTCAGTCGGCGCATGAACCTTGGTGACTCAGCAATATGGCGGAAGTCCTCCAGCTGTTTCGTTAGCCGTATACGGCGATCTAGCGTGGTCTCCGTAATAATGAGAAATTATCGTATTTAGTGGTTTTCTTTAGTTTGTTGTGTTGGATTATTAACCGATATTGATTGCTTTGAAATACTTAGAAATCTGTGACGCAGCAATAAAGCAATAAAGCCTTTGTAAGGCAGAAGGCACCACGTGTAGCGTTTTATGAATACTTTGTGCACCACGTGTAGCGTTCTATGAATACTTCTATAAAATATGCTCACTGAATTTCTTGTATTTCAATACAGAAATTCCTCATAACATTGATGTCCTTATTTATTACGATATCCAATTTTCTTCTATTCACCACGCTTGTTTTAGCCGATATTATAGCGATATAATTTGCAATTATATTGATAGACGTTATAAAAATGGAAAATTTCAAATCAAATGAAGGATTCTTTGACTTGTGTGTAAATGTACCGGACGGAGGGGCGGATAATTTAAATAATATTTTATCAAGGTTATATGAAAGTAAGTTAATTGTGAGAGTAGACGATATAGTACGAATAAATTAATCAGTGTTTTCATTATCTTGTTGATTTATTTCGGTATTAGTGGGTTATGGAACAGTGGCGTTAAATCAAACTGTAAATGAGAGTGCCATGGATAACGATAAGAAAAAGAAGCAAGACAAACTGGTAACGAGTGTAGTGCCAGATCCAATTGACGTTTCAAAACTAAATGAGAAATGGAAAGGAAAACTGTGTATACTTAACAGGCTAACATTTATTTGTTCAAGTGCTGCAAAGGCACACACTTTGGTGCAGTTTTATTATTATAAAATTTGTATTTAAACCATTTATTTTGAAAGCAGAGTAACTCGAGTTTGGAAATATTTAGTTTGAGCGGGATATTAATATATTAAAGTACATTTCTATAATATATGTATCAAAAACGAGTGTTATGAAACTATTGATTACGTAATATTTATAATAGAAGCTGTATAGTTACATGAATTTTTCAAAATAGAAGGTTTATCTATATTGAAGTAATGATATTGTATTGAATATAGTTCCATTACAGGCACAATGTGCAAATTTGAAAAAATATGATATATATGCTCTCGTCCCAACCAAGCAAGATATATTAGAGGTTGGTGTATACATATTTACTTTTTAAATTGCATCTTCAATATTTTCATATTGAATTTACATTATATCAATTCACACTATATTACCTCTGGTTTATTTATTTATTTTTTTAGTTTGCTTGTTCACAAATAAAAGCAGATCTCATCACGATAAAGCCAGAAATTTCTGGCATAAGAATAAATCGAAAAGTATATCGGCAGGCAATAGCAAGAGATCTGTATTTCGAGATACAATACGCAGATCTTTTGAGACAGGAAACACGCGTAGCAACTCTTCATCATTCTTATCAGCTACAAACGTGTCGCATAAGCATGGTATGTGTGTAATATATGTGTATTATATAGATACGTATATTAGATTTTTATTGTAAGTTAGTTTTATCGTTGCTGCGGTAAATAATTTTAAATATGCTTATTTTATTCATATGTCAAGACAGTCCGTATTTGTATGTTGCAGAATGTAATCATATCCAGTGGTGCGAACAACAGAAATTTAATCAGGAGTCCATATGATATCATAAATCTGTATCCTTTGATATAATGTATAATATCACGGAAGAATTCTGTGTGAAATATTGGCGAAGTTAATTATTCAAGTCTTATCACGATGCATAGTGGATCTGTATTAGGATTGCGACGAGATAGAGCCAAAGCAGTTATATTAAATGAATGTCAATTTTTTCTTTTGAAAGCGAGTAAGTTATTGTAATTAAGCTCATTTTATACGAGACTGAATGAAAAGGAATTTTTCGTTTTATTTATTTCAGAAAAACGAATATCGGGCAAAACGGTGTTTACGGTGGAATTTGCGGGAGAACCGGAGGTAGATGTCGAAGAAGCGGGAAAGAAGCAAAGAATAAATCTCTAAATTAATACCAAAATTCAACTTCTATAATTTATTTAATAAAAAATTTCTACTTTACAGTTTGTATATATGCTACATAGTAATATACATATATGTTACTTTCTAAAAATAAATTTATCATATTTTTGTATAAATATACATATGCAAATTTTCAAATTTCTATTTTTCCTGCAATTTTTACGCAAAATAGTATTTATGTATTTATTCATTTATGTGATTGTTTTTGCTCAGTTTTCGATTTATACAATTGTAGAAGTTTAGAGTTGAAATTTACCTGCAAGAGCCATCTGTCAGCCTGTTCTGTACTTTTCTTGCAAAATACATTATACATGCATGAGCATTCTGCTGTTTATGGTAATAATAAGACAATATTAATATTAATTATAACATACTGGTCTCTTTTTTAAATAAACAGTACGATTTCTCTTTTTTAAATAATAAAAATTGTTTTGGCTATAATAAAATTATATCTCGCAGTATATGCTATTGTTACCGAGGATCGATATTACCATGAAATAATACTATCCAGAGGCAGTATTATTTTGCGTATTAACTACTTACTTATTTAAAACATTGCGAAATAAAATTATTGGTTTTTTTAAAAAATGCGTAAAATTCTTCATCGCAATAAAAAATTAAATGAACTTCAATCAACAGCTGGTACAGCGGCTATGTTCATCTCAGTTTAGATTTTAGATAAACGACTATCACTATGAGTTCAAAAAAATATGTATAAGGATTTTTTAATTAACGTTATCTCTTAACTTTATTACATTTAATGTGATGCATTTTGGTTGCAATATATATTATCACAGCGACGTTATGGCCTTAGTCAAGTAAATAATTATATTCTCACGAAGTTAAATATAGCAGAGCATCAACGCGAAGTTAATATAATAAAGCGATATAATTTGACGTTTGAACGCGAAGGACGTAACCAATTGCATCTAAGTTTGAATGATACGCGCGACGTTAAATATCTCGGACAATAACGTTACGGTACCGATAACACGGCAATGATAGATTATATCGTCTAATAGAAGCTGTTAACGTCGATTCGAAGATTGTGGAGGATTTAGTTTTTATCCAAGGATCAAACGGATCATGCGCCCGGCGGCCGCGCGATCAAATCGATCGTCCGTACATCATCTCAAGTCATCCCCGATTTCAAGCCCATCGACAACGTCGTCCGTTTATCATCATCATCAGCAGCAGCAGCAACAGCAAATTCTGTATGCTCCCGTCAGTAACCCAATGGTGACTCTCCAACCGTGTGGAACAGCGCTTCATCCTTCGTGCGTTTATCCGAACGTTCAGTCTCACGTTGTTTCACCGAATTCCGCCCATTTACATCTCCAAGGTCTGAAAGATAGATTTTAATTCAAATTAATATTGTAAATCACAGTTCTTTCCTTTCTTTCTCCATTTTTCTTCTTGATTCTGTTTCTTAAAACAGTCTACCAGTGATGAAACAGTGTTGAAAGTAACACAAAAAGATTAACGATTGTAGTTACATAAATCTAGTTATATAAAAATAGAACGTAGTTATATAAAATAAGAATGGCAATTAAAATATTCCGCGCGGATGCAGGTAAGAATAATCGATGGCACACCAAGAACAAGCCGTCTCGCGGTCAGCAATACTATCAACAGCAGCAACAGCAACAGCGCCTCTCGTATAATCCAAAACCCGTCGTACTCTTTGACCAACCGTCCACCAGCGTTGCACCAATCCCCCCATCGACCACATCCTTCTTAGTAGCCTCATCCACATTCACTCATGCTGGACCATTGCACAGCGAACATTACAGTAACAATCCCGGAGTGACGCATCTGTTACCGCAGCCTTTCAACTTCAAGCCGCCGGATGTGCAGGCCCTCTGCTTCATCCAAGACCGACCGAACATTCAGCAACAGCAACAACAACAGCAGCAACAGCAACAGCATCCATTGCCAAGTTCCTTCTACAATATCTCGGCCACAAACACCTGCAGTCTGCAAACCGTCAACGCGAACTCGTCTTTCCCACTTGCCAGCCTCAATCCTTATTCCAACCTAGCTAGCTTCAACAACAATCAATTCCCAGTAACGGTGCAGTCCTCTCCGTTCTTTTCGAATCCGCCCGTCGGTGTAGTCCTCGCACCACCGCGAGGAGACAAGCCTTCATCCGCGTTAGATTTCGCGCCGTTCAAGCATAACGCGGACAAGATATCGAACGCCCGCGAGTCCCAAGTCGTTCCAACCGGTCAAAGCGAGCATGGCTGGCCTTCTCAGATTGAGTTCTCCAAAAGCGACGCGCAAACTGTCGCGGGAAATAACAGGAGTCTCGAGTCGGCCGAGTGCGCTTTGCAGAAATCTCTCTCTGTCGTTGCGAAGACGGACGAGGAGCATTACTCCGACGAGTCCTCGACCAGCTTTGACTTTACCATCGAGGCCGAGAAGATGGTCTCCGCTCTGTGCAACACCACATCTTCGAACGATTTAGGCAAGGAGGAATCGAAGCCCGGCAACAAGACTGATTCCACGACGTTGTTCAATGGCGCGGGCGACAACAAAGCGAGCTGGTTCGCCGATTTTTGCTTCGAGTACGAGAACGGGACGTCGATAGGCGTCCAAACGGACAGTCCGTGCGTCGATAGATCGCAGTATCCAGAACTGATTCGGAAGACAGCTCACTGGGGATGCACACAGGCTGAGATTGTTCTCGATTCCGACGACTCGCAAACAGACTTCAAACGGTGTTGGTTAACGTGCCTGTCGTCCGCCACCAGGATGGCAATCACGAAATCCTCGACTTGCATCCCGGTCTTTGCGGGGGATCGAGTCTTCGCCGACGATCTCATAAATGCCCTTCTGCGCATCAGCAACGGTTGGTTGAGCCTCGACAACTACCTGAACAAACAACATTTTCCCAATTTACTGGACAGATTAGATCCCGAGTTAATCGCGCACTTCCAGACGTGGGAAGAAAGCACGTGCGAATTACTGAAGCAAATAGTACGAACGTTCCAGAAGTTCGGCGAAAACAAAGAGACGGGTCAGAAACGCAACGTGACGTCGTCGTTTCCAGGCGACGTGTCGCTTTACACAACCTACGATCTTTTCGTCCCGTTGTCTTCGAATTCTTTTTCTCAACAAAATGCGATTGGAACATCCTCGTCGCTGGAGAAACCACGCGGCGCGACGTCGACGTCACTACTGACAAGCGGTCTGCGTAATTTTCAATACAACTCCAACTATCAGCAGGAGCAGCAACCGTTGAATCCGAAGGAGAGCAAATTGCGGAGCAAGTGGACAATCACCGAGAATTTGTCGTCCGCGATTAACGCCACAAAATCCGTGCCGAACGTTTCTGTGTGTCACACCGACATCGGCGGTCTGGCAAGTCATAAGCTTCGCACAAAAGACGCATCATCATCCAGGAAGAATGATGTCACTCAGAAATCGTTGAACGCCGAATTCTGTCAGCTGAGGAGCAAAGTGATGGAAAGCAGTGCAGACGCAACGAAGGACAGAAGACACGATTACACACCGGAAGACAAGCTTACGACGGTGCTCGATAACACCGAGTCAATACGGCTGCAGCATCCAGCGATGAACGCTGTAGCTCCTATGAGCTACAGTGGATTATACGCGCGGAACTGTCTATCCTTCACGTTTCCTTTGTCCAATCACCCGGACTCTTCGTATCCCGCATCCAATCCGGGAATCCCAACGTACGGTGTCGGTTATCCACTTTCAGGGCCTTATCCCGGTACCGATATCAATTCGAGATGCGGCAGGAACTCCGAACAGATTTACGGAGTTAAAAGCGCGAACGTCAATCCAATTTACGTCGGCAGATCGCAAACGGATCAACTAGAACTCCCGGCTGTACCCAGGAACAAGATGACCCTGCTCAGTCAAATCGAGCCGCGGACATTCGACAAGGAGTCCGAGGAAATGGCGGCCAATTTGTCGGCCTGGTTCGCCAGTATGCGAAACGCGCAGCCTCCAGCGTCGGCCGCGTCGACCTTCGAGGAGCCGAGGACAAACGAGAACTCGACGCCGCGATTGTTCGTTCAGGAGACACCCAAGTACTCGATGGTCATGGCCAAGCAAACGCAGATCGACACGAATCGACAGTTCCAGGCGTTGCAGAATCTGCCGAATATCCAGAGCACTCCCTGGGCCGCCGCCGGCTTTATCGGCAGTCGTGTCCATGTGCAACAATCGCCCGAGGAATATGATAGCTCCGAAGACGTGCGGATATACATGAAACCGGGCAGCTACAACGTGCCGAAAAAGAGACACCAGAGAAGACCCAATCATCGTCGATCGAGCAACAACGCGACGTCTCGCAACGCGCACGCGAGCAGTCATCGCAGCGTGTGCGGTAACAACGGGAAAGGTGTTACGATACCAGCATCGTCGACGCCTCTATCTCACGCGAGCGCGCCAGCCTTGTTCACTAACATCAGTAACACCACGCTGATAAAGACCTCGTTCCCGCCAGCTTCGCAGTTGCCCGTGCCTCTGTTCAACCTCGAGAACTCACCTAGGATCCTGAAGCGCACGGAATCTCTATCGCTGGACGCGCGTCAGGACGTCACCTGGAAAGCGGCATGCGCCTCAGCCGAGATACTTCTCGAGGCCCTCAACATAAAGGATTGCAGCGATACGTGCAAAAACGTCGAGTGCAACGACGGCAGCGGCAAGAGGGAGGATAAGAATGAAGAAAATGTTGAAGTCTTGGCAATGACGTCGCAGCGGAGCGATCCGAAATCAATGAAGCATGATAATGTTGACCGTGCGTCTTCGTATGAAGCCTCGGAGGATGACTCGGGGTCCACGTGCAGATTATCGCGTAGCGCGAGCATAATATCGGTATCCCAGTCCCGCGAGGATGTGAATGGTAAAAAACTTTATAAGATATATATTTTATTATATACTTTTTATAAAGAACTGATCAGTTTTATTAGAACAGTAATGAGAAAAGCGTTAGATTGAAATAACTTTTTCGCGAGGATTTCACGCGTGTATATTTATCGAAAATAATTAAAAAATATCTCGCGATCTTTTTGCAGGTGGTACCTAGTAATAAGCAAAACAATATCCTTTTCTAAAAAGCATGTTCAACAGCTCTCGATATCAAGACCAACGTGAAAACGGATTCCTGGCTGATCAGGACTCTCAATAACGCGAGTATCGTCGGCAAGCAGAAGCGAAGACGTGAGGACGATGTCGATCGACGAAGCTCGGAGTCTTCGAACAGCTCGGAAATTGTTGACGTAAAACCGGAGCGGCTCGCATCGTCGTCGACCGCGGATGTAACGTCACCCGCAGATACAAAGACTCGCGCGACGATCATCAACAGCGAGTATCCAGCGATATTTTCTCGCGAACACGTATCTAATCCCTTCGCGAACAAAGACGAAACGCCGACAAAAGAATTGGAAAATCACGTCGGCAGAGCCACGTACTCTGAAACGGTACGAAGATCTATGAAAACGAGCAACCTACACCTGGAGAAGAAAGAGCCGGTCAAGTCGTGCGCGACCAATTCACCGGTGACCGCCGTAATACCAATTCCTGGCCGCAAGTGCCAGAGGAAAGACCCCGTGCAATCCTACCAGCTTCTGCACAAATCGCGAAAGTCAGCCGACAAGAAAACAGCGAGAAATGCAGAGAGCAACGATCTCCAATTGGAGGAAGGAGCGTGCGCGAAAGTCGGCGATGTCAAGTCGAACAACATAACGAAATCGTCAGCTATCACAAAAACGAATCACGGCAGGAAGAAGGATTCGGAACACTTGGAGGGCAAGCGCGCCAGCAAATCGAGCGATCGTGGCTGGTCGGTGTGGTGCAGCTCCAAGAGGAAACAGAATCTCAGCCCTCTGACATTTAACAAGTTGGAGACGATTCGTCGAACTATCTGGCAGATGGACGAGGCGAAGGTCTTAAAGTATCCGCTCTCGTGCGACAATAAGAATGGCCAGTCTTCATCCACTTTAATGGTCAGTTAAAAAAAAAAAAGAAATAAATAAATAGAACAGAGGAAGTAAAAATACAGAATGTATATTGAAAATATTCTTTTCGCTTTTCAGATGGAAGATTATTGCAAGATCGTTAAGAGTCCGATGTTTCTCGAGATCGTCGAGTACAAGTTGAAGAACCGGCTTTATCATAAAGTCGAACACGCTGTAAAAGATTTCCGTCGCATTATTAACAACGCGAGATTATATTATCAGGTTTGCAGCAAAAACTTTTTTCTTATATATTTTATTTATCTTCTTTATTATCGCGTAAAAATCGCGCGATAGAAATAAAATACTATAAATCGTTGCGTAAAATTGCGTCTTAATCTTCAAAGCCAAAGATCCGGATCCAATATCTTAACGTCTACTTTAAAAAGTAGGAATTTAGTTTCGAAAGGCGAATTTCTCTCGGTTCGCGATAGATTTCAATTAGAGTCTACGAAAATTTATGTTCTTTCGCAGGACGACGATGAACGAACGAGAAAGATTGAGGTGCTCTCGAAGAAATTGGAAGACTTACTCGAGGAACATTTCGGCAATTTGGACTTTGACAATATTACCGGCAGTCCGAGAGAAGATTCATCGACCCAGCTGCGACTTAAGACATCTGGACAGAAATCGATCGCGGGACGCTGCGATAGCACGAAGAAAAGTGTTTCTTCGTCGATTATCGTGGAGGATTCTTCGCTCCACTGACCGTTATAACTTCTCGTCGAAATGAAAACTCCAAATCGAACTATTGCAACGAAACTATTAGAGAAACTAACGTTCTTTACAGGGCATTGTGTGTAATAACTTCTTTCTAGTCACGAGCCATTTCGTACGGTTAATGATGTCGTAGGTGTTTTCTTTTTTTTTCCGTTCTCGAAGATCGGTATCGCTGTCCGATGGCTCGTAAACTCGTTAAACTTTTCCGTCTCCGAGAGGACGGGATTCCGGACGATTTTAATAACTACGAAAAGTGCACGCGTGTGTTCTGCCGACAACAATTCTAATTTCATAACGATATCTTAGCGAAGAATTAAAAAAAAACTGTATTAAATGCGAACGATCATCGGACAGTATCGAATTTATTTCTGTACGAAAAAAAGAAAGTAGTGCATGATAGCGAAGTATCGACGATATAATGTAATTTCCATGTTCATTGTTACGGCTATTACTTATGAAACATTTCGATCTTTCAACTTCGATGCTCGTGTTGAGGTATCGTTAGATCAGAGTGATATGAATCATGAAATATATTACGCTGACCAGTCTAAATATTGCTGTTTCGTTCTAAGTCTTAATTGTTAGCAGCTTAGTGCGTAAGTAAAATAAATGCAAAAGGCATTGAAATTGTTATATCTGTACCTTAGAGGCAAAGAATCTCCACTATTATAAATTTAGAGAAAATTTCTAATACGACATTCTAAACATGATATCTTAGGAACTAGTATAATAATTACCATAAGACCTTTTATCATTATACAATTAAAGCTCCTGATATATTAGAAAAAGTATAAATTAACTTCGTTCTGACAAAAACTAAAGATACGATTCTTTACCTCTAACTAAGGTATAGATATAGTTTTCACGTTATGAAGTTTGACACGCACTCGAGACTCAAATAATGAAGCTCATGATGAAGCTGATGATACAGATATATATGGAGCCGAAGCTTATAATATAAAATATAAATAATACGGAGTTAAAATTTTTATAATATCTGTATATTATAAATACGGAGCTGAAGCTTATTAACATATATTATAAATACGGAGCTGAAGTACATGTCATAAATACGGAGCTGAAATTAATGTATCATGAATGCAGAACTGGAGCCAGTGTATCACAAATACGGATGAGCTACCACGCACGCACCACCGTTCAGAAGTCAACACTTCTGCCGGGGCGAGTTAGTAGACACGGATTATATAGTAATGTCAAATATCGCGGTATCGCGCCAGTCGGCCAGCCAGCCGGACTAGTCGGAGGCCGGAGATAGCGATAATCGCGCGTACGGGACTACCGGGGTTCCAGGCTGCAGGCTGCAGGTAGCGAACGCGGAACGACGTTTTTCTCGCGGAGAGCCGCGAGAGAGATGCGACCGCCACGGAGCGCGGCCGCGCCGTGAAGCAGGGCAAGCAGAGAGGCTCTAGAGAGCGTGAAGTGGATTCGTGAGTAGTGAGCATTGCGCGAGAAGGAGAGCGGGCCGCGCTCCGAGACGCGAACAGCGCGAGCTCGGACTACCCCGGGGAGGGGCCCGGGGACGAGCCGGACGCGAGGCATCGCTCTCGGCAGTCTCGGCTGCGCGCGGACGCGGACGCGCCGACCGTCAAGATGGACTGGGACCTGCTGACGATAGCGAGTCTGCATCTGACCGCGACCGAGCACCGCTACTACGGCGACATATTCATCTACTGCTGCGAGAACGCGGACAGTGACAGCGTGCCCGTGATCAAAGTCGCCGAGCTGTTGCGCTCGGCCAGCCTGCCGCGGGATGTCACGATGAAGGTGAGCTCTCGGTGGCAGGGGGGAAAGCGCGACCTGACGTTGACATTTCCCTCCCGTCGGGGAATGCATTGTGATAAAATTTATCTCGGTATTTGGAGAGAGATTCTCACGCCGAGGTGCACATACGTGCGGACGGGACGGACGAGACGTCCAGGGTCCGTTTGTGGAGGTTATGTCGTGGCAGGTGAACCGATTAATTCGTCAGCGGGGATTATAGAGTCACTTCTTCTTGCCTTTCTTGCAACGATCTATACTCTATAGCTATTTGCGAGGATTCTCATGTTTCTTGCAGCGTGTTACTTTTAGCGGAAAACAGATTGTTATTGTTGCCAGGTAGATTGACAGTTGTCATGTATTTTGGAGAAAAGAAGATGCAGATGAAGCATTTCATAGAAACTCGGTTACATATGAATATACATTATTATTTTTTTGCTTGTAGATATTGGACGTATGCATGGGAACCAAGAGTAGCACGCATCTGGGCAAGAAGCAATTTTACGCAGTGTTGAAACTCATCGCAGGCCACCAGGCTGGTTTGGAAGTCTCCCGAGACATGATAACTGCGTCTTTGGATGTTATTACCTTGCCGCGATTTACGTGGCCGACGTCTGGTGACGAGGAAGGCAGGAGGAGTCCGGACATAACCAGAGGAGCAAAGGGTAGACGTCATCCTCCCGAGAGCACTACCGAAAGCGAGAGCGAGGCAGAATCTCCGCGCGAGACTGGCGGTAGCACGGATTCTCCCACGCCGACGAACAGCATGATTCAGGAGAGAAACGACGGTATGCTGGGCGGTGAGACAATCCTGGACTCCGTTTCCGGTGGTTGGCAGGGCTTGTTGGTTTCCGAGGAGCAGAGACAGCTGTTGGGCACCGAGGAGGAGAGCTCGGAGCGTCACAGTAGCGACGACGGTGACGGGGAAGGTGACGGCTCGGGTTTCCCGCCGGAAGAAGTGTGGATTATCAGCGACGAGCAGCGTGATTATTACGCCGCGCAATTCGCACAGTTGCAATCGGATCCGGAGGGCCTTCTGGCCGGGCCGGTGGCCAGAACGTTCTTCGAAAAGTCGCGGCTTCCCGTTTCCGAGTTACGACGCATCTGGCAGCTCGCGGACGTCACGAGGGACGGGGCGCTCAGTTTACAAGAATTCTACGTGGCTATGCATCTCGTCGTGCTGAGGAGGAACCACGTGCCTCTGCCCGACGTTTTACCTCCGTCCTTGTCGATCCCGTTGGTTATGCAAACAGCGACAGCTGCCGCGCCGCCGCAAGTCCCGTCGGCGACAGCCGCTCAAAAATCGCCGCCGAACTCCGCGAACGTACGCGAGAAGAATCGCGAGTGGACAAAGTTCGTGGACTCGCCGACCGGGGCGAGCAGCTCCTCGGTCACCAGCCCGGGGCTGCAGCTGGTGAATTTCGATTTCCAGAAGTCAGCCGTCGAACGCGACCCGAAGATCCTGCATCCGGTGCCGTTGCGCTTGACGCCCGAAGCGGCGATTCTCGCTTCGGGCGCCAACGGCAGCAGTAGCAGCTGCACAACCTTGGGGGATGACGATCTGCAACATTCTGCGGCGTCGTTGGTGCAACGACCCCTCGCGAAGAAACCACCCGCGGCTCCCGAAGACGCCGTTATCGTGACTCCTAAGAAGGAACCACCGCCACCACCACCACCCAGACCTTATAGAACACACGCGCGCAGTTCTAGTCTTGATCTTAATAAATTAGGTATACGTCGCTCTACTGATACTCCACGATACAATACTGCGGTTACGAAACTGAAATCTTATGTCTTATGCTATAAACTTGCGTATTCTTGCAGGAAAAAATGGTCAAATTTTTCTTGGGGCACCGCCGCTTGTACCACCTAGAATTTCGCCAGGAATTGTAAGTTTATTGTATACGATAACATTCTCTTGTGCCCCTTTTTAAAAAGGAATGCTTTTTATTCTATATACCTTGTAAAAGGTATTACAACGGAATTTATAACTTTTTACAAACGTTTTTTAAGACAGGGATTTAATGATCCGTTTTTGTGCTGCAGACTTCGCCTCGCAAATTGGTCGGCCAAAGAAGTGAGGGTGAGGGACAGAGAACGTTAAGCGAAAGTCAAGCTTTTGTCGCTGACTTCTCTCACTTTTCTCCCAAAAGTGAATTGCCTGAGAATACGGTATCATCTGTAGAAAATACGGTACCACAATCTCAACAATTCACTGGTGTCTGCGGAGCATTTCATATTTATAGGAAACCGAGTCCAAGTAAGAAGTTATCTCATTTAATTTCTCAACATTCAGCATTTTCTCTGTATTTGTACTTACAATTTGTTTTTTAGCATAATTTTCATCATTTTATGCAGTTAATGATACATACAATCAAGCAGAAATACTTGATTTCTCGTTTAAAATATTAGAGATACTTCTAAAGCAGATGCTGAAACTATTTTTTTGCTCATACCTTTACTTTCGTAATTATGCTTAATAATTAATTTTGACAGAACGAGACGGCGGCGAAGAAGAAAGTAAAAATGAAGCGGAAGAGGAGAAGAAATTAACTTTACAAGAATTAAGGGAAAAGAATGCGGAATTACGCTTAGTTTGCGAAGAACTGACACGTGAACTGGCTAGCGCGTTCCAAGAACGTATAAATTTGCGTGCAAAACTCTTGCTCTTGACTTGATGTGATTACTATTCGCTATCATTCATTCGTTCGAAACTACGAGGTATTATGTGTCCTCAAATCATTGTAAACACATGTATTTAATACGTTATGCTAGTCTAGAACTCCTCTTTTCCAACGAAGTATTCATCCACATTCATAACGATCAATGTAGACAGACAGATGCGGCAGGGGACGCGATTTACAAAAAAACAATATTACATAGATATTTTATACTTGAGATTGAAAGAAGAGTGTATATGTCGTCTATGACATAAATTATGAATCATGTATATACAAAGCTGATTATGATCTTTATCGATACATAACAAAGTATTTGCGAATTTGCTTTTGTCAAGTTTATCAGCTATTCTTCACGTTTATATGTAAAAGTATTTAAAACAATCACTCTCAGGTTTAAAGCCTACGTTATCGAATTCCCTGTGATTTACTGACTTGTATGTGTTACGTTTTTGCATAAGAACTTTCCTTTTCATCGTCTCGAATTTATATACATTTCTATAATATAAGCACACTGCGCATACAAGTGCATCTGTCACATTGTTATTCTATTTCAGTACAGATATTTGAAACTTCTGATTGTGATTTCTGTGCTTTGTTAACTTTATGAGGATTATACAAGATATTTCATATTCCCCTCTGTCTATTAATGAATCTCTTCTAAAAAACACTTTGCCGTAAACAGAATCATAATATCTATTATGAATTAGTTGTATTGTAAAAACAAATAAGTATTTATTGTTTGCAACAAAATCTAATTATATTTTCGTATGACTATAAAATTTGACAAGAAGATGGGGCGTCAACGGAGAAATGGAATAATCAGGACTGTTATGACGTTATATTTTATTCCGTGATAACAAGCGTACTTATAAAATATCTGTTACATTTTGAAGAAAGCTATAGGAGAGAAAAGTGGAATCTGCAGGAACAGAATACTTCAAAAATAAATTTATATAGGTGTATAATGCTCAGAATCAATTCACGTTGAGTACGTCGATTTTGGTGTATCAATTCTTTGAGATGGTTATATCGATTCCTAATATTGTAGATTTTAAGAAATAGTTGCTGTAGTTGGTGGAAACTATGTGGCCTGAGAAGAATATAGATCTATCAAAGCCACACATCTACAACAAAAATCAAGAATCAATACAACCGACATTCTTCTCAGCTAGTTTCGCAGATATTTCTATTAGTAGCGATTACTCAACGGGCATAGGATTGCCTTATTAATAAAAAAAAAATTATTTAAATAAATTTTAAAATTTTCTTTTTCTTTGTAAATTCAGTCTCTGTGGCTCAGCTCTATATAAGTCTCAGCGCTTTATTTATATAAATTGCCATTTCTATCCAATCAAATATATATTGATTCGTAATTAACGTTAAGACCTTCATCACATCATATTTTCCAATTTTTATTTTTCCTACAGATAGCGAATAAATAAATTTGCCGAGCGATCGTTGTTAATAACTCTTTGTGCCATAACGCGAAATTTTGAAGTACATATTGTCGTCAGTAATCGACAGTATTGTCTTGTCAAATATCACGAGACTACTTAGAGGTAAAAGCTTTGAAAATCAACGAGTCATACGACAAAGATTTTTTTGTAATTATAGATATTGTGTAAAAATTATATGAAATTAATACTTATGTCAGAATTATCTGATTTATTATCTGCAGTCCTGTAAAAAAATGTAATGATGTAGAATACATATACAGAAGTGTCTGTCAAATACGAATAAAGAAACTACTTAGTTTCATAACAATTTTTATTGATATCATTGTGTGAATGGAAGAATAATGTTAATCACGTACAAGAAAAAAATTACAAATACTTGTAAACATCTCTTGAATATGAATGAATGAACGAATGATGAAAGTTGAGTACTGCAATTACAATTCTACATAATAAAACCTCCGTACACATGGTGATGCGCTGACGAAATTCGATAAATAAAATTGCGCTCGATAATAAATTTAGTACAACAGACTTGAGCTATAATTCTATTGTCACACATGTCTGATTTTACGTAATGCGTACTTCGCGATTAAACAGGCTCTACTGTATAATATGTAAAGTTAGAATACTCACATTTACATGTCTGTTTCACTGACTCTAATAGTAACAAGGTAAATATATAGATCTTTAGATACGAACACTAGAGCCTGTCTTATTTTGTATCTCAATCAGCGACGAAGAGACGTCGCTTTATCTATAATTCTATTGACTGTGCGAGAAAGAATGTATGCTAGCATTCTTTGGTTTTATACTCCGAGTATAGATATCTGCTAGAAATTAATAATGATGCCGATTAATACAGAGTGTTTCTTACAGCAGCTTTTTTCACAATGATATGCTCCATACAGTGACTTCGCGATATGGCGAAACCGCGGAGCTAGAAGGACACGGATAAACAATCGACTTCTAAAGACTATTTAGTTGTCTTTGCTCTGCATGAATTTGATCAAATCGATAACTCGGCTGGAGTAACCGAACTCGTTGTCGTACCACGAGATCAGTTTAACGAAGTTGTCGTTTAGAGGGATGCCAGCCTTGGCGTCGAAGATGCTGGAGTGATTGTCGCCGATGAAATCGGACGAGACAACGTCATCTTCGGTGTAGCCCAGGATACCCTTCAGAGGACCTTCAGCAGCCTCCTTCACTTTGGCTTTAATAGCGTCGTAGGAGGCAGGCTTGGCAAGTCGAACCGTCAAGTCGACCACGGACACATTGTGCACGGGTACGCGGAAAGCCATGCCAGTAAGTTTCCCGTTGAGGGCGGGAATGACCTTGCCAACTGCCTTGGCCGCTCCAGTCGCAGCGGGGATAATATTTTGTGCTGCACCACGGCCGTCACGCCACAGCTGTTACCGGAAAAAGCATGATAAATGATGTTACATAACGACAATCTCGAATGATTTCTCTTGATAAACAGCTACAGTATCGTACACACACCTTGCCGGAAGGTCCGTCGACGGTCTTCTGGGTGGCCGTGATCGCGTGTACGGTTGTCATGAGGCCCTCGACGATCTCAAAGTTGTCGTGGACCACTTTGGCGAGAGGTGCTAAGCAGTTGGTGGTGCACGAGGCGTTGGAGACGATCTTGAAGCTCGGATCGTAAGCTTCCAAGTTCACACCGACGACGAACATCGGCGCGTCAGCCGACGGGGCGGAGATGATAACTTTCTTGGCGCCGCCTTCCAAGTGAGCCTGCAAATACACCGAAGAACATTGAACTCATAGGTGTAAACGAGGATTCTAATGAAATAAACGACTTTTCGGTCGAATTTCACGTACAGATGCCTTTTCGATGGTCGTGAACACGCCGGTCGACTCGACGACGTACTCCGCGCCGGCCTTCCCCCACGGGATCGCCTTCGGATCGCGCTCGGCGAAGACGGCAATCTTGTTTCCGTTTACGACGAGATTGTTGCCATCGACCTTGACTTCTCCCTTGAACTTACCGTGGGTGGAGTCATACTTGAACATGTAGACCATGTAATCGAGACCGATGAAAGGGTCATTGATGGCGACGACCTGGTTTGACAGAGAACTCGGATTAGGTAAAACGAGCGCGGCTTCGACCGACTTGCGGATCGCAGCTCTACTTTCAACACATACCTGACCACCGCGCTCCAGGGAAGCCCTCAGCACGAGACGGCCGATACGGCCAAATCCGTTAATTCCGATTTTGCTCATGTCGTCGTCTTGTTTGCAACTGGAAAATCGGACAAAAGCGTTACAAGACGTTGCGCCACGCGTTTTCCGCGCGACCGCGGTCAGGGAGACTGGGATGGCCATGTGAAACAGGTGCGCGAGAACGAGTCTCATCGTTAATCAACAAATTCCAGTAGCGAAGATCATTGGACGTTAGGTTAAAGTATAAATAGATGTGCGACGCATGATGATCCATCATTCGCTGCTTCCCTGCTATTTTCAGAATATTAATCGCGTTTCAAGGATGCTCATAAATATCGCGTAAACGACAATTGATATTCATCACATAGGCATAACCGCATAATCGAAAACTATCAATTCTTCTTCACCGTATCAGAGTTTTGTTTTATTTAATTTAATTAGTACATTGTGCTGTTAAGATCTGTCAGCGATGGATAAACTGAAAAATCTTCCTCATACATTTATTGCTAAAAATACAATGGGGATTATAAATGCAGCGGAACTATCAGAGATTTCGCGGCCGCTTACGTAATTTCGAGCGCGACGTAAACGTTATTTACAATTAGTCTTGAATTTGTCTTCAAAGCTGCGGTGGCGACAATCTTGGCACACGCCTCGGCGACACGATCGCCGATTGGGCACCGCCGGGGAATCTCGTAGGTCAGGCAAGGTCAAAGGGGGGACGGGTGTGTCCAAGTTCTTCGACATCCCGGTGTCCATGAGGATGATCATGACCTCGCGTGAGTGGGATCAGTGGGATTATCAAATCGCCGCGCATCGCGATGCAACCGCGTATCATCTAACGTGATCCGAATCGGGAGAAAAATCTATTCGGACTATCGGACTTCCGGCCACTTCGAGTCCTGATTAAATTTAATTTAGCGATACTCGCGGTTTTTAACGCGGACAGAAATAACTTTTTATCGAAGTATATTACGATATCTACAACTTTGCGCAATCGAATTTGTTCTGACAGAAGCGCGAGCTATTTTTATAACTAATTTTTTAACAATTATGTGTATTTGAAAGCCGAAATTACGACGATTTTGCTCGCGATTTTGTACTTATTCATACAATCAAAGACAAACCGGTTTTTCTCTCATAAATGTTAGGTCAGAAACTCGTTTCTTTACAGCAACTCGCCAAAACGCAAAAAATCGCGGTTTATTATACGCTTATTTATATTTAGAAAAAACGAAAACATTGTTTTGGTATCCTTCAAATACTTAAAAGTACAAATAATTGACTAAATATATGATTGAAGGTAAAGCACGAGAATAGCTAGATTTAATAAGCGGAGGGGTCATTAATCAAAATGTAAAATCAATGATACAGTAATTACACGTGACACGCATGACGATTAATTTCCAAATTAATATGAGCTAAGGTCAACTAAGGGCGGTATTCACAATCCGATCTTATTACTCAAAATCACCTTAAATTCAATAAAACGACCGAATAGCTTCTCAAGATCGTCCCGAAGGCGATGTCAAATATAAGATCGGGCTGTGAATGCCTAACAATATCCCGTAGAATCGCAGTCCCGTCTCATTACATCGTGATCGAACGCTAGTACAGCCGTGCAATCGTCGAGCGATAATATTGACCGCGCGAGGGCCGTTTAACGGTCGCCATCCGCGTCATCGGGCGAACCCGGCGAAGGGATTCCGTCGAGCGTCGCGAAGGTCGCGGGAAAGGTATCGCACCGCCCGGTTGTTACATCATCTCCTCGATCTCACGCCGCGCTTCTCTCTCTCTCTCGCAGGAATACAACCGGATCGTCTCCGCGACTATACGGGAGATACTTGATACTTTACTGGTGACCGAGCGACGTCACGAGAATGGCCGGTGCGGCGTACATACGTCTCGCGGGATGGCAGACGCGATTTTTGACGGTTATGTGTGTCGCACGTACGCAACGTCCGTCAGGAAAAATGACGATCGGGGCGAACGATGATGATGGATTTCACCCAGGAGCGAGAAGAGAGAGAAAATGGGGATACACGTCAAGTGGAACTAGTGGAAGAGATACTCACCGCGTACCAAAAAATCAGTTCCGTCCACCGCGGCTACTAACGAAGTAGTGTCATTTGAAGGGCACGGGTGCGATGATATAAAACGGAGCTTCGTGCTCCATCGCCGACGTTCGGGAGATCACGTGGCTTGATTATCGATTGTCGACATGTTGGCGCGCCGCGAAGTTCAACCGCGCCGGTGCCGATGTATATTAACTCTTTCGTCGATCTCTTTGGATATTTATTTATCGTCGAAGAGGATTTACTTTTATCATTAGCATGACAAGCATCAACAGCTTAGTTACGCAGACGTAATACGTAATTATAATATGTAACTTACAGCATATAGCTTTCTCTAATAATAATTTTGTAATTACTTCGGAACAGATTTTTTGAGGGTCTATAAAAATTTGTGCTAGATTTTGAAACAGAATTTTAACTAAAATATTTGTTTTGTTTATAATTAATTGCTTTATTTATATTTTACTTCATTTATAATTATAATTATTATATTTATAGTTTATTTTTATAATTTGATATCTAATATATTTTTGTAATATATTTTATAATTTATATATAATGTGTATATATAAATTTTGATTTTACAAAAGTTTTTCATGTTACATGACCATGAAATTATAAATAAGATTCTTATTAGTAGATATATAATCTACATACAAACTGAAATTTATTAAAAATATAACAAACTGTAAATAATAAAATTCGAAAATAGTTGCAGAGGATATTGTGCACATAAGATATTAGAAAAAGATAAATTGTGTGTGTTGTTAAATTCGTTTGTTGTTTAAACTCGATATCTTTTAATATTATTTTAGAAGAGGATAGTTGCATAAAAATTATAAGATGCGTATTCGCAAGGGTTTAAAATAGAATACAAGTGCGTATTCGAATTTTAAGTTTTAACTTTGATAAGTTGTTCTCCTAATCATCATCATGCTCGAGAACTTGTCCAGCAGTTACAGGAACATTACCGGAATCGGCGTTATACATGTATTGAACCAAATCGGTTATACGATACGCATAACCATATTCGTTGTCGTACCTGAGGAAAAATGAAAGATCTCAGCATCAAGTACCTAGATATCAAAATTTTTGCGCGATCGAAGAAATTGCATCTTTGACTTGTAAAAATTACGTATATCAGGCATAGGTTGCGTATTTGGGATAATATATTTCTTTATAAATTGAGTTTTATGACGACGTGGGTGGCGTTATTATACCAAGCGACGATCTTGATGAAAGTGCTGGTCTGCGGAATGCCCGCCTTGGCGTCGAACACGCAAGAATAAGTCGTGTGGTTGAAGTCCGACGACACGCAGTCGTCCTCCGTGTATCCCAGCACGTCTCTCAGCTGTCCCTCGGCCGCTTCTCTCATCGTCTCTTTCACTTCCTCGTACGTCGTCGGTTTGTTGACCCTGAGGCGGGGTATCAGGCAGAGATCAGAAACGTTTCTAGTGGCACGTACAAGAATCGAACTTATTGTTATAGCGTCGAACATGACAATTTAATTTTGATCAAACGTAAAGTTACGTAAATAAAATTGCACAGTCGCGCCTTATGTGAAACCGAGTACACGTTTTTTTTTTTTTACATCAGTGCAACGAGAATATAATGTTACGCATGCCGGATTTTATGGGTCAGTTGTCCGGTGAACTCCGCATCCGCGCCAATTACCTGAATGTCATGTCGCACAATGAAACGTTGGGGATCGGTACCCTGAACGCGATGGCTGAAATCTTGCCTTTCAGCTCAGGGATAATTTTGGCTAATGACTTGGCCGCGCCGGTCGCGGTCGGAATGATATTCTGGAGCGCGCCCCTACCGTCCCTCCACAATGCCGTAGGTCGAAGCTGCGACAAAATATAATCGTGCGAAGCACATACATGAAACTTTTATAACGATTATTTAGGTTCTTTAACCCGCTGTGCAAGAATAAATAATTATATATATATAGATAGGACAAAAATATATATTCTATTGCGCCACAGATTTATAATTGAATAACCGGAAAAGACGCGCATTTTTTTATCGGTCTTTTATTTTTCACTCATGCTCATCGGATTAAATAAATAAAGAGAGAAAAAGCGTAAAGAAGGAGGACCCATTTCTTAGAACGAGTCATTATTAAGGAACCTTTTCTACCGGACCGTCCACGGTATTTTGGGATGCTGTCACCGCGTGTATGCTGGTGATCATCGCCTCGAGAACCTCGAAGTTGTCGTGCATAATTTTGACGATTGGAGCTGCGCAATTCGTGGTGCAGGACGTCGCAGAAATGACACCGTCTCTCTTGGGATTGTAACAAGTGTGATTGACTCCGAAAACGAGCATCGGTGCATCGATCGACGGTGCGGTGATGATAACTTTTTTTGCGCCGCCGTCGATGTGCAACTGCATAATATACTATTTTTATTTTTGATACAGATACGTCGGTTAACTTAACATATAATATAGGATGTGCTGCATGAAGATTATAGAATACTAGAATAGTTTGAGGAGACTTATTTAATTGTAAGTCCAATAATATAACAAATGTTACAAATATATAAATATAGTAACTGTTATAAAATCAATACTTCTTCCTTTTATTTTTGAGTTTCTAGCGAATCAATAGTTTTCCATATTTAACATCCCGTTACAAAGAAAAATATAAATTTAAAATCTTACGCTGGCTTTCTCTAGTGTTGTGAATGCTCCGCTAGCTTCTATTACGTACGTCACTCCTTTATTCTTCCATGGTATTTTCCACGGTTGCTTTTCATGTGATGTAGCGATTCTGGTCTCTCATTGAACGATAAATACGTTTATGATTGTTTATATAAAATAATGTTTATATCATGTTCTTAAATGTTAAGTAAAATGAAAAGTAAGCGTGCAGGAACTGAAATAAATTTTAATAAAGCGCAAAAAATTTTCCGGCAATTGCAGGAGTTATATGCGAATACTTTTCATTTTATGTTTAGAGAATATTAAGTTTATTAAAATCTGCAGTACTCATAAGATACACAAAACAAGATAAAATTTTAATAACTTGAGATTTAGTTTTTTAAATTGTAAAGAAACTAAAATTGTATTTACCACCACTAACTATAAACTCATTGTCGCATTCCAGGGACAAAGGATGTGGCCCGTGAGTAGAGTCGTGTTTAAAAAGATATATCATATATTCCGTTGTAAGGAATGGATCGTTGATTAATTTTACCTGTGATATTTATCATTATATTGTTGAGTTTTAATCAGTGTAATACATTATACTTATATTTTTTTATAATCGCAAACTTGCATCAATGCGCTTCTCGAGGCAAGCGCGAAGACACATTCTCCCTATTCTTCCAAATCCATTAATTCCTACAACTGCCATAATTTTATTTCTATTTTAGTCTTTTTTAACAATTTATATTTAAAGAAAAGGAGAAAGGGGTTTAAAAATCTCGAATGACATTTTGTTGTAAATGGTAAATAGTGTGAAGCTCATTACAAAACTTTCCAGAAAACATTATGACACCGTGAAGTTGTCTATAAAATAAAAATAAAAATAGAAAAGAATACAGTGAGAATACGAGAAACAGAGAGGACATTATGTGGCTGTCTTCGCGCGCGTTTATTGTCCGAAGATCACCACGTGCTTTCTTTTTATGTGCGTATCCCACCCGATTTTTGGGTGAGCCTCATTTCAGCATAATTGCACGGGTTCTTACTTTGTCCCATGGATCCTGAAACATCCTGTATATTATGCGTTGTATTTACTTTACTAAAAATCCTTTTTGAAAGTTGTTTTATTCTCTAATAACTTATATATAAAGCAGTCACTTCTAAACTAATTAAAACTTTTTATTTTACATTTAGCAACGCGAATCTTTCAAATCATTAAATAAAAGTTGTACGTTTTCTTATAAATCCTATTGTTTATTGTATAAAAATAGTCTTTACTTATTACACTTTTATTTATGTACACTTAACGAAACGTTAATTTCGTATAAATATTAAGTGACCATTAATAAATGGTGAATGAATTTTCCAATAACTGCGCAAGATCTTCTTCAGACTGTTCACGTGGAGCCAATTTTGTGATGCGATGCTGAAAACAGAAAGAAAGAAATTTCAATTTTTGATGTCTTTAAAAAGGAGAATGTACCCTGATCATTACTGCTACATTTTATGTATGTTATTGTGTTACATTTTTTCCATTTGATAAGGAATACATGGCGCACTGAATTTACCTGAGGTAAAGTGCCTTGAACTAACGTAGGAATGTCTTCTTTTTTGAAACCGAGTTCTGTCAAACCGTTTTCAATTTTCATAACGCGCATGTATTCCTTCACGGTGTCGGCCAAAATTTTTCCCGCGTCAGCCCGCTTGGAATTCTTGACGTCTACACCGAGCAGTTCCGCAGCTTCCAGATGCCTCTCTGGACATGCGCTTCCGATAAAAGAAAACACGGCTGGCGCGGAGATCACCACAGATAGGCCATGAGGAACTATGGGATGATCATCGCTGTATCCCTTAAAGTAGCGATTTAATAAAAACATCAAAGAATTTCAAATAATTAGTTCTGTATCTCTATATAGAAGAGATACAGGAAAATAGTATAATTTAAAAGATATATTCTAAATAAGAGATAAAGAAGAGATCGCAAGAAAAGGAATATTATATTTGAAGTTTATAATTACTTTTGGTTGGAAATTTCGAACGTTTCCGCTGATAGGATACGAAAGTCCATGACAAAGATGAACACCAGCATTTCCGAAACCAACGCCCGCCATTGTACTTGCTAAATGCATATGACTCCTCGCTTCCAAATCATCTTGATTGTAAACTGCTCGCTTGAAATATCTATGCAAGAGATCAAATATTATTAATATTAACTACAAATATCATTTATTAATTTATGTGTTTTATAAAGTAAATTTTAAACAACGTATATTTCTTTTAGTCCTTAGATTTTAATATTACATTTTATGTTTATGAAATTAATGAAAAATTAAGAAAATATCAAACTGTTTTAGCGTTTTTAATATTTGCTAAGAGAGATAGCTTTGTAAAATTAATACATTTATTTTAATATTAATTAGAATAGTGCTTTATATTTTAATATTATATAACTTCGTAATTCTATCTCTTGATAAAAATTCAACCACTATTCTTCTGATTTGGAATATCTGTGGTTTAGAGTAGATAGATGCACAGATATTGGATTGACGCAATTGTGTTTAAGTAATTGACTGATTAATTACTTGCGCATAACTTGAAGAGCATATCGCGCCCAGACATCGCTGACAGGATTGCTGCCTTGATAAGCTGGTCTCAGAATTGGATTCGATGGGCACGGCGTCCTCTCTGTATAGGGTATCGCCGTAAAGGATTCCAAAGCGTGGCAGAGCACGTCGAAACCGGAGTAAGCGCATACTCTCTCCGGTAAAGTCAGAGTGTGCTTGGGATCGATGATTCCCAACGTTGGACGTAGAGCTCTGCGATTAAAGAGTTAATGAATTAATTTCTTTTTGCATATCTTCTTTCAATCCAACGACGTATAATGAACGTTTACCTGTTTGCGATCCCCGTTTTGGCTTTTAGGGGCCGATAATCGAAGATGGACACTCCAGTTGTCTCAGAACCGGTACCGGAAGTTGTCGGAACGGCGACGAGCGGTTTCAGAGGAACTTGGATCGGTTTACCTTTCCCAATCGGGGCATTCACGTAATCCAAGAAGTCGGCGTCTGGATCGCAGCTGTACAGATTTGCCGCTTTGCAGGTATCAATCACGGAACCACCGCCAACCTGCGGATTAATAATAATTTAATAACAATCTCCCCCCGTATGGGACCGGGGTAGAATAGTCCCATGGTATGTTCTGCCTGTCGTAAGAGGCGATAAAAGAACAAGTGAGACATAGGGCAGCAGCTAGAGTCACTGTCAGATCGAGGCTGGGGAGGATTCTCGACAGGCCCGATACTGAACATTCACAGACGCCAATCACTGATTAGGCGGCTGTGATATTACGATGTGGAAGGCAACAGGAAACCATCACCAATGATAATCATATAATATGATTAGATATCTAATAATTAAAAATATGATATGTAATAAAAATAAACAGATTATTTTAATAAGATAACAAAAAGATATTTATATATATTGATTTAAAAAAAGAACGCGACATTAAGAGTCAGTCGTACTCTCTTTCTCTTTATAGTCTTTTATCGCGTTTCTTGTATACGTACCGCTACAAAAGCGTCGAAATTTCCACGCTTGGCAAACTCGATCGAATCTTGTAAGCTCTGCTCAGTTGGTTCTACGCGTACTTTATCGTAAATCTCGAATTGAACTCCATATTTGGAGAGGCTGTTAATGGCAGTTTTCACGGGAGTTAAATTCACCAAGTTAGGATCTGTCATCAGACACGTTTTCTTCGCTCCCAAATTTTGTATGTCCATTCCTAACTCTCTCGTTACTCCTACTCCATACCGCACCGTAGAACAGGCCATCTAAAATTTTACGCAACTTCTAATAATTTACATAATACATAAATTAATATATAGAGGTGTCATAAATTAATAGATTGCATTATTTTAAATGTTTAGCGATAAGAAGAAAAAAATTAAATTATTAAAGAGAATTTAACATCTATTGTAGTAGATCGGATTTAACTACCCGGGAAAAGACATGTTATAAATAAAATGACATGTTATAAATAAAATTCAGATTATTATCAGGAACTCGAATATGCAGCATCGAGTACAGTTGCTGTAAAAACAGTTCTTATCTGACTAAACAACGCGGGAGACTTTCGATTACATAATCGTGGTATTTGCGATAAAATCAACACATTGACATGCACTTTAAAGAGAGCTTTTAATAATTTCTCTCTTCTTACACATTTTTTACCTCGAAAGCATATTCCTTGTCGCTTGTGACATTTGCTGCAGTGCTCCGAGCTTTTCCGTGATCCCGTACGCTAGTAGCTCCTGGATTTCCATGCGCTGGACATCTGCATCTAAAAATTCAGAATAATTTAAAGTTTATATTCCGCGTTTGCCATTAAATTTTTAACACCATTCTATCCCAAAATAAGTCTATTAAGAATCGTTATCGAATTAATGCGCTATTTTTATAATGGATTGACACACGTAGACTCGTCTGATAGATTGTCACTGATATCGTTATCTTCCTCTCTTCTCATATTTCTTACGTTTCTTATATATTTTTATAAAGCCGATAGAAATTACTTTCACTACTTTAATAATATAAAATAGCATTCTAAATATTATATTTATGGCTGCTAATACTAATATATTATTCTTAGATAAGTGAAGACATAATCTATTTTCTTAAATAAATTTATTTCTATCATATTTATTAATTTGTGATAGAATTAAAACACTTCGCGATTTATTTGACGTCACTATTATATTATCTACTTTTTTTTATATAAAGATTTTTAGATATGCGATAGTTTACTTACGACTGGGATGAAATCACTTGCAGAAGGTCAATGACGCGTCGTCTCGGCAGCATTTTAAATATTTTTTTAGGAGTGATCGTCTAAATCTTTCGATTGAAAATGTTGCGGAGTAACGTTCTCCACGAACTGTCGACTGTCGTGCTTCATTCCCGACTTAATAATCTACAACCGGTTCGTACTCCCCCTCCTTTTACTGCACGTGTTTACCACTTGATGAAGTGGCTCTATTATCCATGTGTTCGTATTCATATGTGAACAGGACTGTATCAATAGAACTTTGTCGAGCTACGTTTAGTGCTGCTCGCTGTTAGTCTCGTTCAGACTAAAAGATAATTGTTAAAATCCCGATTTTTGAAACGAAAATCTGAACATTAACATTGAATAAAGTGAATCGAATTTGTTACTTAAAAAAAATGTTAAATAAAAAAAGTCACTCATTAATACAAAAAGAAAAATATAATACTTTATTTAATATATTATATATTTTCACGGATGACCTATAATAATATTACTATATACCTTCTGATGATGTTTGCGGCACATCTTGTAATATATCATGCATTCCTACCATCTCTTGGTAATTTTCTTCAAAATAATTATTGAAAAAGTTTACATAAGTTCGGGGATGCTGGAGCCGTCTGTATAACCGACAAAATTACCATTTTCTATGTTATCGACTATATCTGTCCTTGTATAGACAAAGATATAGACAAGGATAGCACGCTACATTGTACGCACACATACGCACGATGCACATCGACATTATACTTTTATATTACGCTTCCAAATCTTGATTTGGAGGGTTTATCGATGTTTATCTTGTTGTGCAATTCGGGGGAACTTGTTTTCGCGTTCGTACCAATGGTATATCTCTTGTATGAAATACATCTTGTGACGCGAGCTGACAGCTCGCCGCAACTCGAGACGCCGTATTGGGATAAAAGTACGATAAGGAAATCTGTACTTCCGTAATTTTTTCTCGTTTTCTATATAAAATCGGAGTTCCCCCGAATCATTAATGTATGTACTGCAATTCTGGAGAAGGATTTTTAATTCTGTCAAATTAATACGACGCTACGTGCCGACAAAAAATGCTAGTAAAACAGACGGCTCCAGCATCCCCTTAAGTACATGACATTTAATTAATAAGTACAATTCATCAAAGTATTACATATTTTATATACATTTAACCTATTATTTTATATTATATGCGTGCTAACCCTTTATCTAAATTATAATTATATATTTCTTTATTTTCTTATATTAATATTTATATACATACCGTAGTCCATACATTTATACATCGAGTAGTCCATACTATATGTCGATGACGTTTTGCTTGGCAGCTTGATGTTTTGCGTACTTTTAATTCGCTGAAAATCGTGGCGGCCGCTGAGTAAACATGTTGAGACTTTAGGTGCGCTTAGACCGGTATTCATAGTCGGTTCTTATTTTAAGACCATCTTAAGTAATGTCTTAAGATGCTAATACGGCTTTGTGATTTGTTGCGGCCCCAATTTATTATTAAGAAATAGGATTAAGAAATGGTTTTATTATTTAAAGATCACAATATTATTTAAAGAGCAATCCTATTAAATAAAGTATTATAATAATATTAAATGTGACCGTGAAAGTGTCCGCAAGACGAAAGCTTAATCAGCAAAACAATGAGTTGCGCGAGCGGCCTACATCCGATCGAGCAACTCATCAGCAGTAATGTAGGACGAACGAGCCGATAAAAGAGAACGAGAAGAAGAATCGAGAGAGCAATTGGAGTCGGGCAGCGACGGACATTTCTTGTACATAATAATTGTCAAACAGATTTAATTAAAGTATTATTTATTCAAAGTGCCGTGTATGATAATTCCGCCTCCTCCGTGGAGCGAAAGAACCCGGTAGAATCGTTCAGCAGAAAATCATAAAACAGTTGCAATACTGTTGCGTTCTGCTGAACATAGCCAAAATGAGAAATAAATTTATAAAAAAAAAAAACGCAAATCATGATGCGTCCGTGCGATTCGATGAGAAGCTGTAGCCCAGGCAACGTTCACGTTGTAGGCGCGTGGCGAGCACGGTCGTGGACCGTGGTGCTGACACGTCAATTATACGCTGTCTGTTTAAAATACACCCGTTTGAATCCAAACTTTACTATTGTTTTTTAACTTATTCATGTTGGCTAGCATTATAATAAGTATGTACGTGTCGGAACATTTTATTATAATGTGAGCTTCTTCCAGAATATTACACGCGTGAAAAACTATTTTCGTATCAGCTTCTTCATGAGCTTCTAGCGTGTAGATATCATTTATCGAAAATAAAACAGTCTCATTATATTAACTTTATATTCATAACACTGATCGAAGTTCAGTAAAACTGTTTTATTTCCAAAAAATGGTATCATTTCTGTACTCTGCCAATGTACAATTAAAAAACGGACAAGAGCTTTCTTGAAATTGCTATTTCTAAGCTCTTTGACAAAATCTGCGGGTCTCGTTTGATCAGGTCCAGAAATCACATACATATACGCTCATCACAGTTACCGCCTCGGAGAGATCTTTCATAATCTTTAATTGAGGGCGTGAAATATCTATCAAAAATGACGCGTACTTCTCGAGCTTTATTATTTGTTGTTACCATCTGCAGTATTTTTTTAGATATATTTTTAAACGTTTTTGGTATGTCTTTCATACAATGTATTAGATAAAAGCCGTCTATCAAACAAACGTCCGCGTGTGTCGGAGCTATACTTTTAACATTCTTTTCTAATAGCTTAAGTAAAACTGATTTATCAGTCTTAAATATCGATCCGTCTAAATGGCACAATGACATCGGAACGGGTGTTAATGGAAAAGTAAGAATCTTTTCTATGTTTGTATTTTTATTCATTGAAATGGCTAACATGCAGCCAAATAAATCCCCCTGTAATCTTATTTCTTGCATTTTGTTGTTAATTGTGATCTTTTTCTCTTTGCGGTTGAATTTGCAAAATTAAGTATTTTATTTTGTTTGATCGTCGCTTTAAATCTATTTGGCGATTCTGCGCATTCAGAAATAAATGTCTCTCTCAACGAATTATCATTTTTCTCTGCATTTAATAAAAAGTTACAAACTTCTTCGGAAGCTGTTCGTCCGGTGCCAATGTTATATAAAAAATCACGTTCGATATTTTCACTGTTAAACGGATTAAAATTTTGCTTTAATAAATTTATGAAATTTTGCAACTGAACAGAATCCTTTTTTATTTGATGTATTTCCAAATCTCCGGTAATATCTTGAGCTCTTTTTAAACCAGTTTCTTCGTACGTAGGCAATATCAGTGTTGAGCGTATGCTGTGACTTTTTGACCATCTTTGACGAGCATTAATCAAATTCGTAAAATGTGTTATTCCGGTTAATTAATCTCCTTGCAGCATCCGCATTGACTGTCTATTCGAGTGTCAAATCTACAGTATTTTTAGAGAAAAGGTTTATCTGTTCTTTTGACATCAAAAAACCCATTTCGAAATTGAATTTCTAAACCTGGATGTGTTTCCTGAACTTTCAATAGATTATCATGGTATTTTACTAATCACCGAGAATAGTTTCCTTGATTAAACATAAAAAATAAATTGGCCATTTTCGGAATAACTTCTTTAAAAAGTTCAAAATCACCGATGAGGATGCTGCGCGTAAACATTAGATAGTAATCGACAAAATTAATGTATACATAACGTAATACTGCGGCGTTTTTCCAAAGTCTCCACATTCAATGATGCCTTTTTTTATAATCTAAAAAATCTGTTAACAATTTATCGAGAGTTGGATTCGAAATTTTTGAATTTAAAATCTTATTCGACTGAAATTCTTTGATAACTTCGAGTACATTTACTTCTACATTGATATTTTGCTTGGTTAAAAAATCTTCAAGCAACAAAACTTGCAATCCTAGCGACACTAAAGGATGTAAACGCTTACATCGATTAAAATGTCGCAATTCTTGCGCAATTCTCCGACTTTGACGCATCGTTTCATATACTACGGAAATATTTGTCAGCGAGGCATTTTGATCGGTGTAAGGTACGATACTTTTTATTTGATTGATTTATCTACTACGATTTTACTGTTAAACCCAACTCACATTGGCGTGTTTGCAACGCAGTTCGCTATCAATGGGCAGTAATTTTTCAACCATTTTTGGGTTTTTGGCGTAAGTAACCAATTCCGGACATATAGCGTCAAACGTCCATCTCCTTTTGGCGGGAGGTTCATTTGTAGTACGTTCTATATCACATGTGCGCGCATCGCAAATATCTGTATCAACATTTTGGTAAATTATACCGACAGTATCGTGTAACGTATCCTTACCGCTACAAGTTTCAACGAATCGATCGTAATTGTCGAAGGCTACTCCTGTACAATAATTAGACGATAAGTAAATATCTTCGGGACAAATAATCGATTTACTGCAAGAGGCAAACGTAGCTTCAGTTTCCAATTCCTCGATAGTGTTGTAACTGCAGCAGTGCCCGTATTTATTTATAATGTCAATTACTTTTCTACTACTTGTGATGCTTTTCAATGTCATTCCAAGCGTTATGTGCTTAGAAGTTTTAATTTTTCCATGACTTACTGCGTAAATAAGGTCTTGGACGATTGACTTTACTTTGCGAGTGCAGTTAGAACTTTTTACAGTTCTTGGATCATTACCGTAAATTACTGAACGGAAAAACTGCGAAACATCAGCAGAGATTTTGTATTCTTCCTTAATAAAATCGAGCGCTGTCATATTGCCTGATAGAGGCTGAGCTTTAATCGATAACATTTTTTTTCTCAATATAAATGCCCCACGATCTAATACTTCCAGCTCCTCACATTTGCCGAAAGTTTTATCTGTAATTACAGAGCCGTCTTTTGGTGCAATAATTTTTCTATTGTGAAACGTTATTACTTGTAAATCATCGCCAAATTTTTTTGTTAACTTTTCTAACAAATAACTGCTTGTTAAAGTTGATTCGTAAGACTCGTAATTTTCTACACCTAACTTATATAAAGGATTTTTTGCATATTGTACAAGATACTTCAGTGAATAGCACTGTTTATTTGCTATCGTATTTTGTGTTATTAAATCATAAATTTCATCATCAACTAAAGCATGAACTTCTCTTATAGCGTGCCACTCTGATTTTTTAGCAGTCTGAGCTAATATATGTTTTTTGAAATAATTTAATTTAATTTACATGCGTTATGGTAATTAATTAAATTTTGCGATCGTACATTTTTAATTTTACTTAACATTTGCGTATCGTTTAGAGCAGTGGCATTTGTAACGATTTTTTCGATCAACATTTTGGACACAAATTTAATAATCGGAACCACTTTATAATTTTAAACTTTACGTGACTTATCGCAAAAAAAAAAAGAAAACAAATTACATTGCCGCTATCTACTTGTTCTACGTGTGAAGATAACTGTGACATGTTATTGTCTGACTCTTAAACATTTTCTGTAAAATAAAATATAATTCGTTACTTTACTTTACTTAACAAAAAATTTTATTTCAAAAATTTACATTTTTTGAATAAGAAATGTAAATTTTTGTACGAGAAGTTTTCCGGAACCTTCCACGGGGGGGGGGGGAAGAATTCACAATTCTGTTTATCATTATTAGTTTAGTTGACAAAAACTTAAAATAATAAAAAAATACCTTGAAATTAGAAAGCTACATAAAATGTTCAAAGTATAGAAAAATATGACATTTGCAAAATATAAGTAATGTAAAATGTTAATAAGCTAAATGTAAAAATAACTATACATAAATAGAAGAAAAAAAATAAAAAATGTTATCGCATTTCGAGCATAAGTAGTTCAGTGCGTGGCATCGTTTCATCATCTGATCTACGAGTGCGACTTTGTAAGTACAAATACCTATTTAAAATTTTTGATATTAATACTTTTCACATATTTCATAATTCTATAAGTATTCGCTTTAAAAGAAAAAAAAATTGAATTAAAATAAATATTTGCTCTTGCATATTAAATTGTAACAAATTAAAATTTTTCGGTATATTTTAACAACAATATTATCACAATTATTTTAAAATAATTACAAAAACACTGCATTAAAATAAAAAATAACTCTATACGTTACAAAAATAATTTAGCTTTTAATTTTTTTTCAAAGGTTATATTTGCCTAAAAGTGCATACGACCACGTATAAAAAATATATGTCCCCTATTTCGGTCTAGATTTCGACATTACAAGCTAATTAAAAACAGAAGGAGATACTTCAATATGTTTTCTCGTGAATATGAGACGCAGTTTATTTCATGCATGATACTTATACTTGGAACTCTTTAAGCTACAAGAAAATATACTTATTGTTAGAGATACGCTTGTTTCCTACGAATTTATTTTACAATTAACGCAACAGGGTAGGTATACAGTAAACTGTATATAGTAAACTGACTGAGTTATAAATTTTAGGAACCGATTGCAATAAAAAGTATATACATTGTTAGGTAATTTCGTGATAATTTTATTAGCGTGGAATAATTGAGATTTTTGTTCTGTAATACGTTACACATTTTCGTTAAAAAACGTTTAAAGCGAAATAAATGCATATATTTCTCATACGTTTTTAAAACACGTTCATTTTTTTTTTCATTCCAATGGTGCAATAGTCCGAGTCGGACCTAGGCTTTTGCCAAAATCATATGTGCTTGTGCGCGCGCACGTAGATTGCATACAATGCAGCACATAGGACCTACAGTTTAACGCCGAATCCGAACGGCAAGGTAGAGGGGGTTTCGAGGCAAGGGATACACCTGACGGACTGCCATTCCGTCGAGGTTTTAAAACACGTATCCATCTACTTTTAAACTTCACTTTGAGGCAAGGAATACTCCTGATGGGCTGCCATTTCGTCGAGGTTCTAAAACACGTATCTACTTTTAATCTTCACTTCGAGGTAAGGGATATTCCTGACGGGCTGCCATTCCGTCGAAGTTTTAAAACACGTCTCCACTTTTAATCTTCACTTCGAGGTAAGGGATATTCCTGACGAGCTGCCATTCCGTCGAGGTTTTAAAACACGTATCCACTTTTAATCTTCACAGCTCAGCCAATATCGAATTTTATTACTCAATTAATTTTTGTCTCTTAACTTATTAGCATATAATTAACGTGCAAGCTATAAATTAAACTTTATGGCCTAATAACAGTTAATTACTATAAATTAATTTCTTTAAATAATTTTTTAAATAACAACATTAAAATTTTTTATTTATGTGTACATTATAACACTTTTACTGACAAGTGAAACAAAAATAACGCTCTCACGCTAAGACTGTTTTTTGATCAGTTACTGTGTTTTTTTGCTGATTCTTATAGTATTTATGCTTTTCCAATCCCTTTTTTTTACAGTTTTTGACTTAATTATTCGGTATCATTTACGATAGGGATCGGCACGCGCAACACAGGCAAGTGTTCACAGACTGAGCTATAAATTTTAGAGACCACAGTTACTAAAAATCGTTAATTTTGAGTATTTCCTATTTAGAATGACATTTACGTGTAGAGATAGATTTTATTCATAAATAAATAATAATTAACATATTTATCGCTACATGTATCATTTATAATACATTTACAATACACCTAGAACCTAACTATGCAGCAATGAGAATGTTAATTATTATTTATCGTAAAAAATTCACTAATAATAAGCGCGAAAGAAGAGAATAATTTTATTTATTTAAAAAATTACTAAAATTATTTATGTATATATATACTTAAAATATTTTATGTTATATTTCTCTATCACTTGGCGATGGTTTTCTCTTTAGTGTTTAAACAAACACATTTTTTTCATAGATAGAATACTTATTATATAATAAATATGTAACTTCAATGTTATCTCATATTGCAAGGAAAAAGTTGGAATTAAGTCACGAACAGTATCCTGTGATATAAGAATGTAATTTTGATTGAAATGCAAATTCAGGTATACTAGGAAAATTACATGGAAAAAAATAATTCTACTGTTGCACCAAAATCATCACTACTGCATTTTCGTAGCAACAAAATTATCTCATATCGCGAAGAAAATGTTGCAACTAACAATAAGTAACGAGTGATATGTGATAAGAATGCAATTTTGGAATATAATTTACAATTATATGTACTAGGAAAATAGGCATTTATTAGAAATTTTAATAGTATTCGGAAAAGTATTGTAAATTGTTTCTTTAATAATGGTACAAAAATAAAATGCATGTAATTATATAATTATACAATATGGTTCTTATTGTAAGTCGTTTATGAAATCGTTATTTTAACTGTTTCCTGCTTAAAAAAAAAGTATTTAAAATGTATTAAAATTTCCAAATATGTATTAAAAAAACAAGAAAGAAACATTTACAAATATACACACCAAGTTCACTGTTTTATTTGAGAAATGAATTCTGTCGGAATAAATATGAGACAAGAATTCAATGTTTTCTACTTTAATCCTGCAACCATAATGAGTCGTTTGCGGCTTTGACATTTCTGACTATGTTAGTATTTATCAAAAGTCCAATTACTTAGCGTTTTTAAAAAGTTTAGGGTGAGGGAAGTGTGAGATCACGGGACCCGCCGCCATTCGTTAGTTTACCTGCAACTGATGAACGGTGAACATCTCTGTCGAGGATGCCAACGACCCATATAAACGACTTACATAGGTAAAATTCGACTTTTCAAAAACCTTTCGTGTGTACTCGCGCGGCGATTCTGAAGGAAATTCATGGAAACTTTCAATTTGAGTTCTGACTTCCCGAGCTATTCCTTCAGTGTCCAGTAAGCTTTAAAATATCGTAAACTTTTACCGCATAATACTTATTTTATGATAAATATCCCTCATGCTTTCAAATTTCCAATCTGATTCCACGCAGTACTTTGGCAGTACACGGCGCGCCTGCCGGAAGGTTAAAATAAATAAATTTTTTCAACGATTAAATTAACAATTGCAAAATTAATGTAGGATTGTTAAGGAAGCGATAGAGAGCGAGAGAGCGAGAGAGCAGTCGTAGAGCAAGCATCAAAGTTATAAATCGAGAGTTTGTAATTCGTCAAATAAACTATTTGTTTCTCCCGTTACTTCTGGCCAATTAATTCCATATTATTGGAGGCTCGTTTGGGATCAAGCCAGCTTGGTCCGGAATATAACAAGTGTTAGTGAGAGACCGCGAAAAACGTCACTGTGAGAAGGTGCAGCCGTGAGAGACTATACCGCGCGTTAATTACGCGTGAGATACATTCTGAACAGACATCATAAGTGCGAGGAGTAAGTGACCTAACAATGTTAAGCAGGGTCCACATTATCGAGCCAAACCGCGAACCGAGTCCCGAACCGAGCCTCGAGCAGAACTTACAGACGAACCTCAAATCGAACTCCATCGCGAACCGCGAACATAAGTTAAAATTTTTTGAAGTCAAATCTTGTATTGAAATTTATAATAAAATTTATATAAATTCTTAATACATGTATGCAAAATGCATATTTATATTTACAATCGTATTTTTTAACATTGCAATATATATATTATAAATTTATTGCGTATTTATCACAACAGGTTTAGAGTATGTTTATGCAATATTAATTCTAAATTTTGTTTTATGGTTTGAAAAGAAATTAAGTTTTGAATACAGAAAAATAATAAAAACACATATACATATATTCACTCACCTTTTCCTGTTTCCATACTTTTTTTATTTTTGCTTTTTCTCTTTGCAGAGATGCCAATAATGTCGTCATCTTTTTTTTGCACATGTCACTATCACATTCGAGTTCTTTACTTATTTCTTCTTATAAAAAAAGTATGAGAACAGGAAAAGACGACTAAATATGTGTATACATATGCGTGCTTTTATTATTTTCTTGTATTCAAAGCTTAATTCCTTTTCAAACCATAAAACTATATTTAGAGTGGTACCAACTATATTTAATATTGCACAAACATACTCTAAATCTATGATAAATACGCAATAAATTTATAATATATATTGCAACGTTAAAAATACGATTGTAAATATAAATATGCATTTTTTTAATTGTTATAATGTTCGGGATTTTTAGCGTCCCGTATATAATAATCTTTTCTGCTCATAATCACTAATTAAACATTTTTTATCAGACCATTCCATTTTGTCTACCAGTAGTCGTGTAGACTGCACATATGTGGATAGAATCAAATACAGCGACTGGGCAATTACTCACGTTTTCTTTCATCGTTCATTTTTTGTTTTTTGTCATTATTTGTCTAGCTCGAAGCTTAACTACCAGTCTACCACCCGAGAAAGCGTATAATCTGATCATAAAAAGCATCTTTTGATGTTTCGTCAGAATACCGACTTTTGGTGGGACACTGCGAGCCAAACCGCGTATCATCAAAATCCTTGCAGATTCGTGGGGTGAGCACGCGATGGTTCGCACTGATGTTCGATTCGAGGTTCGCGAGCCTCGCGCGAGTCCGTCGGCTCGACAATGTGGACGCATGATCGGCTCGCAACGAAGTTCGGCTCGCGGTTTTGCTCGATAATGTGGACCCTCCTTTAGAACTGAAGGAGAAATTGATGGAGCTATCCCACTCCTATGGGATATATATAGCAAAAATGCAAGAATTTCAAAAAGTTTTTTTTATTAAATACAAAAATGAATATTTTATATTTCTATTCTTTTTTATAGTGTTTAATTCAATTCAATCTTTATTTATCTCCCCTTCCGGGATTGGAAAGGCTTTTTTTTCAGGAAAAACGTTCTAAAAAATTTTTACAATTATACATTCAGTCATTAATCACATACATTTTACATGGCGTTTTACAGGGACGTACCCTTTTTACATATACCCGTAACCCATTTTAATTCTATTCGAAACCTGGCCTTTGTGCGACTTTACAATACTACTATTACCCTCCCTACCCCTTCTAGTGTCTTCCCTCCGGTCCTTCCCCCTGGTCCGCTTCGTCCTCGTCCATGTCCATCAGTAGTTTTTCCTCCATCCTCTTCGCGATCTCGTCCTCTGCCGACCTCCTTGTCCTCCTACTTTCCTCCTCTCTCTTTTCCTTTTCCTTTTCTTTTTTGATCCTTTTTTCCACCGACTTGTCTTCATCTATTTTTACCTTCATTCTGGTTTCTTCTTTTTTCCTTGTTTCCAGTACTTTCCATTTATCCTCCTCACTTCCCATCTTTACCAGAATTGTTATCCATTCTCCTCTCTGCCCTATCATGTTCACCTCCTTCACCTCCACCTTCACTTTAAGTCCTTCTGTAAATAGCTGCTTCACCTTATAACAGTTTAAATCACTTCCTCCCCATCTCTCTTTCTCGACCCTATAAATTATCACATTCTTCCTTCTTTTTTCATCATTGCTTCCTTCATAATCTTCATACCACCATTTTCTCTTATATACCTTGTCCCTTCTCTCCTCACTCTCGTCCTTCTTCCTTTTACCTGAACTTTGCTTCATTCTGTATACCTTCCTTTTCACCCTCTCTACTTCCTCTTTTAGTTTTTTATTTCGTCCTTAAAGTCCTTCATCATTTTCGCTGCTTGCCCTTCCACTATCATCGCGCCTTCCTGTCAATTATTATTGTTCCTTTGTACTCCTTTTTTCCGTCCATCTTTTTCTTTCCTTTCCTCTTGCGATATCTGTAAACAAAATTTAGGTTACTATTTATTCCCTCTGTTTAGCACATCACTGTGCTCTCTTGCATTCCTCTCCTCTCCAAGTCCGCCATCCGTTTCTCTCCTTCACCTTTGCTGCCTATCTTTACCTTGGATACTTCCGCAAACAATTCTTTCAATAATCACCGCTTACTTTCTCTACTACCGCTCGCTTCGTCCCATAGCTCGCCTTTACTGCCGCCACGTGCGTTTCTTACGTAAGTAATAACGTTACTGTATAATAGCGTTTCTAATTTACATACTTGTGACGCACTGTCTCACTTCGATTTCAACCAACACACGTGTGATTGGTCAATTTATTCTCGCCTCTAATTTCCGAAATGTGCGACTTTTCGAATTCACCCCTGACTACTACGACTTTTTAATTCTTGTACTTATTTGACTGCTGCAGATCTTGAGGTGAGCTCTCTCTTTTCTTTTACTGTTTCCTTTAACGATCGATTAAATATATTTTTCTTTCTTTTTCACAGTGGAAATGTCCACTATAATCGTGCGTACCAGCTCGCTTGTCACGACATCTCCTCAAGAAGGGAGCTTTCTGCCTCGAGCTCTGCAGGAATAGAATCCTTTTTCTTAATAAATGCTGAAGATGGCTCAAAGGAAGAGCCGAAACGTTCGTTACATTTGAATACACGTCTTAAGTTTTATTGCGCGCCACGTCCCGTGCCTGACTCGCATTCTTTTTTTCTATTTTTATCTTCACTCAAATTAAATAAATTGATTAAATAATTTAAAACACGTTGCTTCCGCACATGCTCTGATTCACCTTTATTTTCTAAAATAATTGCGTGAATTTTGCGGCGACTTATATTTCTCGAATACATTGTGCTTCTATTCGAGTTGAATTAAGACAAAGAACGACGTCATATCGATAAAACGCTTCGTTAATTTATTTTCTAATACTAATATGAATTTTTACAGTTGTGTAGAGCTCGAAACAGATATCAAGATGGATACGACGAACGCACAAACTAGTTCGGAACACGCACATGACGAAGTTCACCCGAGGGGAGATTCGATCAACGCGTTCTTCGCCGAGATGGTGATCCTTTTAACCGGCGCCACCGGCTTTTTGGGAAAAGCCCTTCTGGAAAAACTGCTGCGCTCGTGTCCCCAGGTGGCCACAATTTTCGTTCTGATCCGTCCAAAAAAGAACAAGTCTGTCGAGCAACGTCTTCAAGATCTACTAAACAATTCCGTTCGTATATATACCTATATATATGTATAATATATCCACTCCCGCGTATATCGCATTTAGAGCTCAGTTATGCATAAACAAATTTTTTCTGTCAGCCAAATAGGAAAATATTATTCGAGTCTATTATCGCCGGAAATATCGGAATAATTAAACTGCTTTAAATCGAGCTAATTGAGCTAATTCAGACCTACGCGTGACATGAAGGGCCCACGCGAGAATTTCTATGGCCTTTAAATTAAGGCACTTTCCCACTACTCGCCATAACACACATATTTATGCGTTGAAGATTATACGAGAATTAAACTCGTTTAAAACGAAAATTTTTATGTTTACTTTGTACGTTAAAATATTTTCTCTTTCTTACTTGTTCCAAAAAGCTTTAGTCTGAAGAGAATTCAAAAAATATTTGTTTCATATTAGGAACATTCGCTTTTGGATAAGTCGCGAAAATTCTCGATGTACACTCAAAAAAATGTTTTGCTGATGTAGGTAGATTTCTAGGTGTCACAACAAAAATTTATCGCTATTTTTCGTATCTGCTAGAATGTTGTTTGCCACATATAGAATTTATAGCAGCAACATTTTAGTAATATTTTCTGGAAAATTTAGGTCCCATTGCCAAATTTTAATCACTGCATTGAATAAATATGAGTTTCGATACTACGCTAGAACGATCTTTGTGAAAAATATAGCTGCCGATTATAACTGTAGCATCGAGATAATATATAACAACACATTCTAGATGTCACCAACTTATTTTTGTAGCTGCAGCCATAATAATTATATAGCTTTTTAGGATACCCATACTAAAAAAAGAGAATTATTATTTGCAAGAAAATAAAATATTTTAAATTCAGAAAAATGTTTTCTTATTGTTAAATGTACCCAATGCTTCTTTGAATTAAAGAAACCAAAGTCGAAGAAATTTATTTTTTTATTTAGAAATAATAATTTTTTTTTTAGTGATGTGGAATGATAAACGAGTGTAATTAATTTAGAAAAAGAGAGGCGCGAGATGGCCAACATAGCTATCTCTTTCTATTCACAAATGATGGAAAAGGTCAAACTACTACGGCTAGAAGCCGGATACCTTCACAACAATAGTTTTTTATTCGCAATAATTTTACGAACACATACGCTGTCCACTAAACACTGACTGAAATGACTGATGACTGATGACTGACACAGACTTGTACGCGATAACTGCGTCACAGTTGAGCGCGAGATTTTTTAAAAGAGCTAGACATATTGGGCGCATTATACGAATTACGTTAAGTGCGAGGATTATATATTCATTTTGTCTTTCGCCATTAATCTTTTCTATGTATTACAATCAAACTTTATAACAAATATTATTATTATACAGTGGCTTTAACATGGATAGGCGACAGAGAAACTTTCTTTCTAAATTTCACAAACAGTTCAGGTATAAATTATGTCTCTGTCATATAGATTAATTAAGGACGTTCACCGGTTCTTATACTAGAGAAAATCGAAATTCTATAGATTTTTTGCAACTGTGAATATACGTTAATTTAGGTGTGCTTTATAAATGTATCTCGATTTTTATACCGCAAGAGATACTGAAATTTATACCACGTGTAAAACACCTAAATTAACGGTATATTATTCACAATTTCAAGAATATCTATAGAAAATCGATTTTCTCTAGTATAAGGACTGGTGAACGTCCTTAAGTGTAAAACATAAGCGATATCACAGTATTTGCTAATCATTTATCTACCTTAGCTAATTTTTTGCACCCAAAAAATTTTTGCTATATAGGTGCAAAATCATTTTTTTGAGTGCAGAAGCTTATCTTATCCCTCTGTAACTTTATCGCAGCGTATTCACGCCAAATTTCTTATGGACGTAATAGCGTACACACTTGTTAAATTAATGTAATATCGATTTTGCACAACCTCGTGTAGGACGTCTTAAATATTTTATTCGTAGCTTTATGTCTAAAGTGTCAAGTTGTCATCGAAATGCACGACAATAGGTCGCGATTGTCGCCATTCTCACGATTATCTCAAATTATATTAATGTTGAACCGTAATTACTTTCGATATTACATATAAATATAACAATTATTGTAAATAATATACAATGCTATTTATTATATTTATTTTTATATATATCTAATATATAAAAATTAAATAATATTTTTATTTTATTCTATTCTGTTCTATTCTTTTTATTTTATTCTATTATGGTACTTAATATATAAATAATATATGTGTATGAGTATAAATTAACATATATAATATATTTCTATATAAGTATATAAAATTTTGTGTTCAATATTTTTCCGCGCGTTCCTCGCACCCTTCTTACGAAACGAAGCGGTAACGTGCCTCTTTCTTTGTGACAGGTTTTCGACAGGATACGATCGGAGTTTCCGGGCACCTTGAAAAAAATCTTCCCTGTAAAAGGTGACGTAGGCCTGCCGGAGCTGGGGCTCCAGCCTGAAGACAGAGACATGTTGATACAAAGAGTCAATATCGTGTTCCATAGTGCGGCTACTGTGCGCTTTAACGAGTCGCTGAAGATAGCCATTAATCTGAACACGATGGGCACCGATCGTATCTTGGACTTGTGCAGGCTCATGACAAACATTATTAGCATCATTCATGTCAGCACGGCCTACAGTAATGCCGACCGACGGGAGATTGAAGAATCAATATACACGTAAGCTGCCAGTTATATAAGCACGCGTGACAGCCGCATGGATAACGCGCTACTGTTTTCATCTCGGAGGGTAGATCTTCAAAATCATCTTAATCAAATTATTTTCGTCGCGGAAATACTTCTGCGATACTGGTTAACACTTTATCTACCGCCCGTGGTAGATAAAATTGACATACATTGTCGAGCGATAATATATTATTATAAATGATATTCACAATAATATGTTATTAGATGATCGGTATATTTTGACAAATAAATGCAGTGATAAGAATAATGAATCGGTTTGTCGCCGATTAGTAGACTTCTAATCAATAAGCACAGGCGGCACAAAGCTTATTAATATCAAGCTTCTGGTTGATAATGCATTAAATTATCCCGTTTATATACATTAAAATGTTAAGAATGGAAATATACGGGTCATAGATACGAGCAAAGCGTTTTTCTTCAAGAACATAATGTCCGATAAGCGGAACAGAAGGGGAATCTAATGACTAGACTATAAGTACATTCAATAAACTAGCTATTTCTTGCTTGCAATCTTCCCCTACGATACATATTTAAATTGCGGGTACATTTTTTTATTTTACATGATACGAATTGCATTTTATGTAAACCAGTTCAGTTTACGATAGGATAGGATAAAATGGTAAAAAGGTATTAAAAAATAATGCTCCTAAAGAAATGCTCGCTTTAAATTATCTATTAATCTATATTAATTAATGTCATTATTAATATACCTAATTAATATTAACTTATAATGTTTTATAATATTTACCCAATTAATCTATCATAATTTCCGATTATCTGCAATAACAAAATTTTATTCATATTTTTACGTGTCTCCGTCAAGTCGATTC